ATTTCGAGTAGTAAACCAGTCTGCTTGAAAGACACTTAAAAAAGTAGTATATATAGAAAGATTTTTGTTTTGAAAGGATATTAAGTACAACAAGTTTGAAAAAGTAATAAATTAAAAAAAAATTACGTGTAACAAAATAATTTTTTAAAATAGTTTTTTACGAGTAACAAGTAGTATTATACGCGTAAAGTAAAAAATTAATAAATAATTTGAAACCCTCTCACAAAATTGGTATTAAAATAGTATCAATATTAAATACACACTGTTACACTACGTATTTTTAAGCCGTTACCACATTTCGTTACCACTAACTCGTGTATCACGGCCAGGGTTGGCATGATTTAAATCAAATGATTTAAATCATTGATGTGATTTTTTTAATTTCAAGTGATTTTTTTAATTTTAATCATGTGATTTAAATCAAAAAATTAATTTTATTGAAACTTTATAATAAATCAAAAAATAACTGTAAAAGTTATACAAATCTATCTTAGAAAAATATAAAAAATAATTCTATAACAGATATAACAGATAATAAATCGAAAAATAATTGTAAATTTTATAAAACTGTATAAAAATACCTATTCATCAATTTAAATGTTGAACCGATTTTTGAAGTAATTTCGTGTGAATCCATAAGACTGCGAAACGCAGGGATTTATTTTCAAATTTATGTGAGTGAATTTTTACTCCCGCTCGCGCGTAAAGAAGTATCATTGAAATCATATTGAAAACAAAATTAAGTGAAATTAAGAACATCGAATTTATTTATAAATAAATCTTAATGTATCCTAAATTAAAATTATATTAAACATCATAGAACTCCTAAAACCTAACTAAAAAAATAAAAATAAACTGCTTACAAGTTTGTAGACAACGCTTAACAATAATTTACGTTTATATCGGTTGTAAAAATTTAAATTGTTCATGTACAGGTTAAAAAATGCATTAAATCCCAAGTATGCCATACTTAAGTGCATTAACACGAAACATAAACATATTTAAAGCACTAAAATCAATGACGATAAAAGAAAAAATACGGCGGACGCCAAAAATCCGACTTGGAAATGGGTTTTCTGAACACGGAATCGGTTCTGTTTTTAGGATGTGACAAAAACAACTAAAGACGCCTTGGCAATCTCGCAAGGCCGTCTACTTTGCCTTCGAAACGAAGAATTTAGCATTTTTTTCACTTCTTCGTACGCTAAATATTTAATTACTGATATAACACCGATTCAAATGCCATTAAAAAATCGGCGTGCGTGAAACCCGGTTGAAATACGGCAAAGAGGACACAATGGCGTCGGTACCAGTCCCCACAATCACCCTGTATATGTAAGTTGCGAAGCTACTTTAAATTTTACCGACTATACAAATCAAGTTCAACAATTGAAGTTCGCTAGACAATTTATGAAGCGTTTTAAAGGGGTCTTTTTTCAGATCGCTATCTATCAGGTCCGATATTTTATTAGACTTTTCAAAGTAGTCTGTGGGCTTACTAGATATACATATATACATATAAAGTCAGTTTACTTAGCATACGACTTTGGTATTAGGTGATAACCCTTTTTTAGAAGGCCTGTTCAGATTTATATCTTGCTCTTTCGCATTTCTATAGATCTTTGTTGTCGAAATAATTTTCTATACGATTGTTCCAATTCTGTTTTATAAATAAGGAGATTTAAAGCAATTATACACAAAAAATATATAGTTATTTGAAAATTGTTCAAAAAATAACAAATGATCAATATATTCGTTATAAAATTGTATAAAAGCGGGTCAAAGAAATCTACTAAGCAAAAAAGGATTATGGAATTCATATGAAATGCATATTTTCTTGCAGCAGCTGATTAATGCAGATTCCATCACTTTCCATTTCAGATCTGCGAGAAAATTGTTGCTCTGAAATATGTGTCAAGAACAAATATATTTAAAACGTCTCAGCAACTATCAATTGTAAATAAATTGATTACGATATTATTTTTTAATCAATAGATTTTTAAAATATATGTACATACCAGGGTTGGCATGATTTAAATCAAATGATTTAAATCAAATGATTTAAATCATGATTTAAATCGTGATTTAAATCAAGTGATTTTTTTAATTTTAATCATGTGATTTAAATCAAAAAAAATATTTTATTGAAACTTTATTATAAATCAAAAAATAACTGTAAAGGTTATAAAAATGTGTCCTAGAAACCTATAAAAAATATTTCTATAACCATATGGAAAAATCACAACGCCCTGTAGAATTGTTAATGTTATCGGTATCGGGGTATAGATTTAGCCATTTAGGATAGGACTTTAATTGGAAATAAGTCCTAGTCATTTGGAAATCCGATTTAAATATTGTTTTGAATTAAAATCAAAAAAATCTGATTTAAATCAAAAAAATCTGATTTTTTTTTAATTTTTTAAAAAAATCATGATTTTTTCCAACCCTGGTACATCCCGTCTTCATATCTATTATCCTAAGGCTATGTATGGATGTATGTATATCCTAACGCAATAATAGAAGCCCTAACGAAACAAGGTATTGCCAGACCTGATAAAATAACTCTTGGCAGTATATACAAAGAAGCCAAAGCAAGATTAATGATATATAAAACAACCCCAGAATTCCCAACAAGCAAAGGAGTTCGACAGGGAAACGTGATATCCCCAAAGCTGTTTACAGCAACACTGCAAGAAATCTTCCGTCAACTGGACTGGACCAACAAAGGATTAAAAATAGATAGAGAATCTGAGCCATCTAAGATTCGCTGATCACATAGACCTAATTGCCAATAGTCCTGAAGAACTAATAGTCCTGAAGCACAAATTAGGTAACGAACTAAATACAGCCAGAATAGGCCAGGGCAGTTAGGTGAAATAATGGCCTTTAGGAGAAGTTTTTGCAATCAAGCTAATTTTTTCACAGATGATAGTACCCATCAATAGTACTCTGTAAGAAAAAGTTACACCTTCTAGGCTTGCTTTTTCCGCCATGTTGAATTAAAGATGGCCGACACAATATTTTTTTAAATACTGTAACTTCCTTGTTTGTCAAAAAGTCGTATACAGGACGACAAAAAAAAAATAAAAACCGATTTTTTAATTTTCGGGAATTTTTTAAAATACATGATAATGCAAAAAAAAAAGATAAAAATGCTATTAATATTCATATTTTAACGCACTTTACACGTTTCAGGTGAAAAAAGTACAAAAAATTGAAAAATTCAAAAAAATTTTCAAAGGTACGTATGAATACATCTCAGGAAATCTACAATTGAAAACTTTTATTCGAAATATCTCAAAAACTATTCTTTTTAGAAACACAGTTTAAATGGGACAATTGTAGGGCTCCACAAGCTCTATCCACACAGGGGTCAACCATCATTTTACAATTTATCATTTTCGAGATATTTAGGATTATTAGATTTTGCAAATTTTTGACTTTGGATCGATTTCGATTCAAAGTCTTTCATTTCGATTCGATACAACACTCTGTACAATATTAAGAAGTAGAAACATTCTCGTTAATGACCACCACCTATGCTCTATCCAACAATGTATAACTAATTACAGACAAATAAAGGATATGGGAGATATTTAAAAGAAGGGCAAAAAAGGAAAATTTCCAAAGAAAAATTAAGGCCAAATTTATTGAACTTTGGTTTGAACACATGGTTTGGGATCTAATTTTGATTTGGCAAATCTTCCTCCCACAGAAGACTCCAGTAATCAACACGTTTTTAGAGTATATTTACAGGTACAAAGCTGGAGAGGAAACGAGTTAGACCCACTTGAGTGGGGGTGGTTTGCCAGTGGCAATGAGCTTTTTCCAGTGACCTAGAAGACCTAGAAGAAGACCAAAGCCGCATAGCCAAAAATAGACAACAATGGGCCTAACTACAAAGAGAGTACCTATCTAAAAATGTGAGGGAGGCGAAATGGTTGGATAAGCTGAAAATGGTGCTGTAATATTTCAGAAGTTCTTTAATTCTCCTGGCACTATTCAAAAACTCATAATTAAAGAACAAAGTTAGAAAACTATAGTATATTTCTATTAGGACAAGTAAATCCAAAATCTTTAATCCTTAATAACATAGTCTTTTGTTCATTCTATAGCCTTTACATTTACAGTACAATTATTATGGGCATAAAAATATGAGCCGACAAATCTATGCAGGTATCGCCGAGTCGCTTTTAGAATCAATAGCTTATCTGCGATCTGTATACTTTTACTTTCTGTCATGAGCCGAGACCATAGCGACCGTTTCTTTTTCGTTTGTGCCGGTTTTATATAAGACAAATTATTTATCTACTGCTGCGTTACAATGACATGCCAAAACAAAATGTGTACCATGCGGCACTGTATAAGGAATTAGCCGATGCATAGCATATTGTCAGGGGACAGGATAAAACCAAAACCACTTGTAAGATATACAACGTATTATAATTTTGTAATGGCTTATTAGCTGTATGACCGCTTCTGTTCCTGATATTTTTTCGATGCCGTATATGGCCGAGCTATTTGTCGGCGCATTTTTGTATTCCAGATGAAATTCAGAGGCGGAACTACACACAAAGGCAGCTCACATCAATTTAAATAAAACAAGATCGGCTCCGCTGATTATACCAAACCCAACTTGAACACAGATAAAAATCCCAAATGTTAATGCTATCTTTCAACGTTCATTTTTGTATAAACATGCACCGAGACCTGCCAACAAGATTTAAATTACAATAAGTGAATTTTTCGAGACACTAATGCCAGTTTTCTTTAAGTATGCACACACTAACCTTCTCCAAGCATTAAATTTCCTAAAACCCATAAACTCTCTTCCTTTAGTGATAATAAAACTCACAGTCGTCGACTTGCGGAAAAGTCTTAAACTAGAATAACTATTTGAGATATTTATAGCTCTACAAATATGAACTGTCAACTGAGTATCAACAAATAAGATGTGTAGATGTAGTTGAAATTACCTAAGTATGTAATTTTTGTTTCAGAATTGGCTTGTGCGGTTTTGACAATCCAATGCGAGACCCAAAAACAGAGGAGTTCAAAAGACACATAGGCCACGTAAGTATTAATATACAGGGTGTCCCAGAAATAAGTGCAAGTATTTTAGCTGGTAGTACAGTTCGACCCCAGAAACATGCCCATGTTGAAAATTTTATATTTTTCTTGACATTTTCTGATAAATATTGAAAAACTTTTGAGTGCCGCTTGTTCATTTTCCCAAAACTTGTTTATAGTGCTGCGAGAGAATGCAATGTTGCCACCTCTCCGTTATCCACATTCTGTATGTTTATAAGTTTTCAAGTTCATCTTTTTAAATTTCCAAAAAAATACTTAAATTAATGTTATTCAATGTAGATTTTTTAATGATTATAGATTACTATTAAGTATAGTGCAACATCTGTTACCGGGTGCGTCTCAAAAGAGGCTCACCCTTATAACTTTTTTATTTTTTCAGTTAAAAAAACGAGATTTGGTATGTTAGTATATGACATAAATTAGGATTGACTGACGTATTCAATTGTTTTCCGTCACTTCCTGTTTCACCGGAAATGACTACAAGTTTTGATTTTTAAATGGCACCCTCGGTATTCTTTTACTTTATTCGATAGAAAATAACAACCAGAATAGAATGACATATCATATGTCAACTTTTGACATTTTCGCATATGGTTTATTTGAAATTATAATTTGCGGTTCGTAATGAAAATTTGACTCGAAATACCAAGTGTGTGGTATTAAATTATTCGTAAAAAAATGTTTTTTCCCAAATATGCTAATGAGCCACCCTCGTTCCATTTGAAAAAAATGAGATATGATTAAAAATACGATTTGAGTATTTTTTAACCGGCCAGGACAAGACACTAAAAACATTAGACAATCAAATCTATTTTTCCAAGGCTTCTTGATTAAGAATTAGTGTTTTTAACATAGCCATGGCACTCTAAATTGAAAATTAAAATAAGTTAAGTAATTAATTTTTTATTAAGCGAGAATGTTAAAAGTTGACACATGATATGTCATTCTATTCAGAATAAAGTAAAAATATACCAAGGATGCCATTTAAAAATCAAAAGTTGTAGTAATTTCCGGTGAAACAGGAAGTGCCCAAAAACAATAGAATACGTCAATCAATCTTAATTTATGTCATATGCTAACATACCAGACCTCGTTTTTTTATCTAAAAAAAAAAGTTATAGGAGTGAGCCACTTTTGAGACGCATCCGGTTATTTTGAAATATCTTTTTCACACTTTCAATGGCAAAGAAAAAATATGTTTCTTTTAACCAGATCTGCCACCCCTTAAAATACTTGCACTTATTTCTGGGACACCCTGTATATGCCACAAGTAGAAATAATCGTATATCATAAAGAGTTCCGTTTCGGTTTTATTTTTAAATCTTATCTGAAATGATCCAGTAAAAAGTGAACTGGCCTGTAATCTGGCGATCTATGAAGCCAAAGGCTACTCTTTACCGGTTTGCTCGCCATAATGTGTTTATTACGCCTAATAGTGGCTAATTATAAATATTTGTTTTGATGTTTCAAGGTGTGTTCAAGAAAGTATGCTGCCGACTGTGTTAATTGAGAAAAAATATTTGACATCTATTTATTCGCGTGTCGTTTCACTTTTCAATGTCATTTACATAAAATCGATGTGCTAACTGAGCATGAAGTCCCTTGTCGGCATTTGAGAGAGATTTTTAGAACTTGCCGCTATAAAAAACGGATATAAGTCGGGTCTTTTTATTACTTCAGTTTATTTAAGGAATTAAAAATGCCTAGGCAACTTCTTTATAAGGAAGAATCTTCCTAGCAAATGGTTTTAAGTGAATTTATCAATACACTATTCAGTTAATTTCTCTAAAAGTTCTTCCAAATCAAAAATAGGGTTCTAAGTATCGTATTGACGTAGATAACCAATGGACATTTCCTAACAGTGATGCTTAACCTTGGAGGGAGTAGCTGGCATCGTCCTCAGCTCGTATAAACAAAAGTACTTAATAAATATAATTAGAGCCGAGTTAAATTTATCCAAGTACAAAGCGTATATTGTCGGGAGACACGCAAAGACTTTTTTAATTGCCGTTTAAGACTAGCAGATTTGTCCTAGTAGCCTGTATCTTGGCTTTCTTGCCGTGTCTCGCTAGTACGGGGGCTCCTTCATTATTTCACTCAGATAAAAATAACAATACAGGGTGCTTCTTAAGTAATTAGATTAAAATCTTATTGTTCTGTCGATCTATTCCACCTAACTAACGCTACTAAATTTTCTCAATAGCTTAAGTACTTCGAATCGCTCGTCATTGTCTAACATGGATGTCTTTGGATGAACGCAGCAGTCAGTGTTGAAAAAAAATAACTATTTTATTTTGTAGATTTTCTTACAGTGCAAGATTAACTGTTTTTGATTTTCTTTACAGGGTGTGAAAATAAAAATGGATGATGCTGGGAACATACTAATCAAGCGAGTATCGAAGTGCAACGTGTATATCAAAAGTACGGGACAAGACGACGAAAACGCAATAGGAAACGAAATTTTGAAACTGACCAATTCGGCGTTAGAGCCAGAAAAACCCGTCAAGTTGTTTGACATGAAGAAATTCCAGTCAAATGTGAACAGGGAGTTAAGACGGGCATACCCCGACCGCAGGAGACTGGAATGTCAATGTCTTAGTGCAATAGCATTTGTTAAAAACGAACAAGAACTGTTGGAATGTCCTATTTGGGTGCTCATTATCAATGTGGTCGCCATGGATATGTTGAAATCAAAACTACCACCAGGTAGGTATTAAAATATTTAAATCTTGCCCTTGAGAAAATACTAACGCTCTTTAATAATATTGTTGAGAAATAATTATGGTCACAATATTATCTAAAAAAGAATAAAAAAAATAAGAATTTCAAGAAGTGTTAGTGGTTCCGAAGAGGCGAACATGTCAAATAACAATATACCGTTAATTTATGGTAGTGAAAAAATGGCAATGCCATACATCATTAAAATAAATACTACGTAAATGCAGGTCTGTGGCATTGTAGTTGTGCAACGCGCCGGAGATGTATCGTAACAAATTCATTATGATCGTGGGGCAGTTGGCACAAAAGCTTTTCTTGCGGTTTCCAGTAATGCCTCATTTTTCTTCTCTAGAAGCTGCTCTGAAGCGCTCAAGAAAACTACCATGGGAGACCTTTTTTCAGGTTGCGCTTTACCTTTTTTCGCGCTTTTTGACAGACGCTCAGTAACTACACCGGCTGTATTATTATTATGATTTATATGCTCGGGTACTAAGAATTATACATGGTGATCCTATGTAATATAGTATAGAATTCCTTATTTTATTATTTCTCTATCTACGTTTAGTTTTTTTTTAATTTGGTACGACTGATATCGGTGGTGGAAAAAAACCTGTAAAACCGTCTCAGATACTGGCTTCTGTAAAAGTCCTCAGACTATAATAAATAATATAATAAATAAATAAAGCTTTATTGTACAAAAAGCCAAAATAGCTTCATCGACAAAGCATTTAAAAAACAAACAAAAGTACAAAAAATATACAAAAAAAATTACATTAAAATTCACAATTGTTGAAGATTAAACATCAATAAAAAATGACAGTTGAGGGTTGGAACCTTTGGTGTTACACAGCAAAATAAAAACACTAAATCACCACAATACACCAAAACACTTTTACTTTTACACTGGACGCGCGTTTCGCTAACCATGTTAGCATCATCAGCAGATGATTATAAACTCAGTTTATCTCAGTATATAATCATCTGCTGATGATGCTAACATGGTTAGCGAAACGCGCGTCCAGTGTAAAAGTAAAAGTATTTTGGTGTATTGTGGTGATTTAGTGTTTTTATTTTGATCAATAAAAAAGTCGTTTACCGCATAAAGGGCTCTCTCCAGTAAGTACGATTTCAGAGCTTTGCTAAATGCGGGAAAGAATGAAAGCGATTTGATATCCAAAGGCAGATGATTGTACATTTTTTTGGCATTGTACAGTATTGAGTCTTTAACTAGTTCTGAGCTAGGGGTTGGCAGATAAAGATCGTGCTCCGCATTCCTAAGTGGATAGTTGTGAGGTAGCCTTTCGAGAATAGCAGATATGTGCTTGCGGATTAAGCAAACGGATTAAAAAATGAATAAAGAAGGAAGAGTCAGTATTTTAAAATTTTTAAAGAAATTCTGGCAGTGAGTTCTACTGTTCAGTCCCAATAAATACCGAACTGCTCTCTTTTGAAGTTTGAAAATACGATGAAATTTTGTCGCGCAGCAAGTACCCCAGAATGGAAGAGCATAACGAAGATGCGACTCAAAAAGGGCATAATAGACCATTCTAGAGGTTGATGAGTTAAGTTCCTTAGACACTGATCTTAGCTCAAAACAGGCAGCGCTTAGTTTCTTTGATAAAGCTTCGATGTGCAAGTCCCATTTTAACAAGTTGTCTACAACAAGTCCTAAGAATTCAATAGTGGTTTTATTAAATACAAAACGTTATATAGTACTTTTATATGACAAAACTTTAGTTTTTAACTTTTTAGACTATATGATATGTGATATGAATTATAACTCAAAAAAGGGGTCACTCCCATACAATCTACAAATACGTCAGTCAGCTTAAAATAATTATACTTTGTAAGTTTCCCTTTAATCTAAGAAGTATTAAACCTGCGCAAATATATAATTAGATCGAAATCTGGCAGACCTTGAACTGTGGGTTTTTTGCGAATTATCACCTGCTCCACCCTGTACCATTTAATGTAAAGTATCAAAACGGCCTTAGAACGACGGACGCAAAAAAAGGTCCCAATGCCGTTTAATTTTTGTTGGCGCGCACAGGTATTTGTAAGTTTAATTTAAAGAAGTATCAGAATTCTGATGAGGCGCTGATAATGCAAAGCCTACCGAATGTTCATTATAATCGCAACAAGATTAATTGCAGACCTTTTCAAATGCGCGAAAAAAAACGAACAAACACCGCTTGTTAATAATCGGTGTTTAATTAATACACGAAACGTCGTACACGAGAAAAAAAATACCCTGTATGCGTGGTTCGATTTTTTTTTCTTATTAATAGGCATTAAGGGTTTTTAAAAGCTTAATATGGAATTTAGTGAAGAAATGAAAATTTAGAGAAAAGAAAATGAATATTTTGAGAACTTTTAAAATGATAAGCAGCAAGAATTTAAATGATTTTAACTAGGCCAGCAGCCATAAATATATTTTTTTCAGTGTACCCACAACAAATCAAAAATTAATCTTTTTAATTCAATGAGACGCCTCCTCGCGCAAGAGAATACACGATACAGCGTTTGCTCTTGCTTCAATTTCAACACGATTTTCTCTCAGGTTTTTTTTAATTTAGATTACACAAGTTTCTATTGTTTGGCGAAAAAATGCGACGTGATATAACACTACTGTAGCATCGACCCACTGTTTTTTTTTCGCTACTAATCTTTGATCGCATGAATTCCATCATAAAATAGTAAAAATGAAATTGTAAAATTTTGAAAATTTCAGTATTTGTAGATTTCCTGTATATACAGGGTGAGTCTTTAATAAGTGCAAATCTTTTTAGAGCTAGTAATTTGAACCACAGAAATACGATTATGAGGTTTTTTTCGCCAAAAAAAAATGGAATTTTTTGGATTTTTTTTTAGTTTTTAGTTAAAAACATAATTTCTTGATAATATGGCAACATACAAGAAAGAAAACCCAGGAAAGCTCCAGTGGTTCTCAAAATTTAATCAAAAAACTTTTTTTTTGAAAATTTCAAGATCAAATAACTCGGTTATTATGGACTTAAAATATCTGAAAAGGCGGTAAATCGAGATCTACCAGCCCTGAAAATATTTGCACTTATTTAAGACACACCCTGTATATTTTATGTGTATCTTTTTGTAAAAAATCGAGTTTGGAACACCTCCTTCTGAAAAAAATATTAATTGTTAAAACTTTGCCCACATCTTAAGAATTAGTGAATAACAAGTCCAAAAATTGTCAAATCTTGAACTGCCTTTCAAAAATACCAAAAAATAAACTTAGGATAAGCTAAAGATAATAATCTCCCTTTTCAGTACAACGAGTAATGGATATAAAGAACAGACCACGCATCCCCATACCCGACGAAGATCCCTACAGCATTGCCGGAAACGGAAGCGGCTCTTCCGGAAGTTCCGGTTTTGCGGGAGGCAGCGTTGCCGCTACCAGAGAACAGTTGATGCTCCAGAGTCAACAGCACGCTCAAAGACGAGGCGATAAGCCTCCAAAATTACCACCTAGAGATATGTACCCGCACGATATACCTAAGGTAAGAATAAACCTAAATCACGAATAATTAAAATTGACGTAATTCATCGAAGATCCACTCATTAATCAAAATTATTAACGTAGCGTTTACGGGCTTTAATAAAGTTAATAAATTAAGTCCTAAAGTGTTCTTATGAAGATGGATGCCAGTGTGCTCCATTTTTTAATGTATGTACATACATTAGTGACAATACGTGATTTATCTGCGAAAATAAAGCCATTCAGCTACCTTGAACTGGCTCAGCGTGAAAGATTTTTATTAATGCAACAATAACAGTTATTTATTAGACCATAATGGGCCATGAAATGGCCTAAGAAGGATGGCAAACGCACAAAAGACGCCATCGATCTTGTGCGTGCTTCTGTACGTGCGTTATTTTAACTCGGCCAATTAATATATCGCGAAAAGAAAAGAAGAAATCGAATTTAACTTATGAGACGGCTCTATAATTTTGTCCAAGGCTGTACGCTAAATAAGTCATGCAAATTTTATCATAATTAACTATAAAATAAAACGTCTTTCAGGCGGGATTGCTAAGAACACGCATATTGTATGAGTTAACCGATGAAATTTATAGACTAGAAAACAAAACGGCTTATGTAGAGCAGTATTTTTTCTTAAATAAACTAGATTTTAGTAAAATACTCGGCCAATCAATACAACGCATTCGAACAGGTGTTGTTTAGAAACCGACTGTCATTGCAGCGCTTATTTTGTTCTTTCACCGTTTTAACAATGTCCTATGAAAATTTATTACTGTTTTTTCTACTTGAAGAGAAAACCAGCGATTTTTAAATTGTTTATACAGCGTGTATTCTTAAACAAAATTCATTCTAAACATTCCAAACACCCTGTATAAAAAATAACTATAGTTTCGAAGATCACGCATATTAAAATCATATAATCCATTTTTAAACTGCTAATCCACATATTCATAGAACTTTAATAATACAGTAAATAAACGGTTGTTTCACGCAACTCTTTCATTAGATCTGATAGATGCAGTCTGATTTCGGAATAAAAAAATATTCTTCTTTAAAGAATTTTCAAAACCACACCCCAATGTTTGTTCCTTAACAATAAAATATAGTCATCTAAGACGCTCTTTATTCAAATTACTTGGATACATGGGTCGTATCTTCTGAAATCAATAAAGCTTTTTTAGCAACACCTTGTAGACACGGTTTTTACATCAGCCGTTGAAAAACATTGTAAAAAAGAGCAACTCCTACGTAGGAAGGTTCCAGCAAGGGTTCGTCTAAGCTATTTTTAGACAGAGACTAGTTTAAAGAAGGCAAAACAAAATATATATAAAGTAGCAGATAGTTAGTTGGCAATAATTAACCCCGATAATATCGTTTTGTGGCATGTATGTAAGTGCTGACCAATTATTTATGTGTTTATTATAATGGAGTAGGTGTTTTGAACCTTTCAACTCCTTCCAGCGAGCTTTACAGATCGAGAATCGCCCTGAAATGCATAACAGTTTGTTAAAACTGACGATACTTGCCGATATACAGAGTCCACACTTATACATATACAGAGTGAGTCTTAAATAAGTGCAAATATTTTTAGGGGAAGTATATTTCCACCCCAGAAACACTATTATGAGGTTTTTTCGCGATTCTTTTTTGAAAATTCGAAATATTTTGAATTTTTTTTAGTTAAATACTATACTTTCTCGATAATATGGCAACATAGGTAGTAGATTAAATTTACAAGAAAGAAAACCCAGAAAAGATCCAAGAATTTTTTTTTTGGAAATGTTCGAGGGTCTTAAAAAAAATTTAAAAAATGACCATAAAATTTTGAAAATGTCAAAGATTGTAGGAAATTTTATGTAGATTCAGAATATATACACCTTTGCAGGGTTAGGTATCTTGGGCTTAGTGAGAAAATTAATTTTGTGGACTCTTGTTTTTCAGCTATTCTTGATAAAAGGTTAAAACGTCTCCTACGCCCATTACCCGTAAAACTGCAATGGCCTATATTTTCTTATTCTACACCTTTTAGTTAGTAAATAACAGCTATTTTAACAAAATCGGTGACATGATGAAAATTGCCAATTTTCACGACTATATACAGGGTGTTTCAAAACAAATGCGAAAAACTTCAGGGGGTGATTCCTTGTTCAAAATAAAGGGTAGTTTGCTTTATAAACGTTGGGTGAAAAGTCAACCATTAGGGAGATATCGCGGTACAAAGATGGCGGAAAAATAATGTTTTTATTTTTTATCTTGAAAACGAAAAGACATAGACTAATGAAATTTTACGGAAGCATTACTGTTATGAAAATAAACTTTCTGGTAATTTTTTAACTTTTTTAAAATGAGTGAAAGGGGTTGAAATAAACTACCCCTATCATTCTTGTTAATGAAATTTAAAGAAAAATCTTATCAAACACATGCAGAAAAAAATAATTTTGATAGTTTAGTTTATTTAGAAACTTTTTTATCTCTTGTGTTTTTTTGATAAAACTCACCGATTTGAAATTAAAAAATAAAATGTAAAGCATTACATGTCAGGACAAAAAACATTTTTAGATCAAGAATCTAGTGGGCAGCTGTAATTTTTTTAGGAAAAAATCTAGTCGGCCGCTGTCACTTTTTAGGATGTTTCTAATATTGTTTTATTTGACATTACCCTACTGCAATACGTTATTATCTAGATTATTATTATTATCATTATTATCACTAGATTCTTAACACACACTTTCAGGGTTTGTAGCAAATTTTATGTACTTTTAGAAAGCATAAAAATATTACAGCTTAAATACTACAGTTTTGTGAAAAAAAAAATTCTGAATCCTTATTTTTGAGCGATTTTTGATGGTTAAAGCTTTGCCTACATCTAATATACCGTACTCCTAAGGTCATAATAGTCTATATTTTCGTTTTCTACGCCTTTTATTAATAAATATAAGTAATTTTATCAAAATCGGTAATATGACCAAAATATCCAATTTTATATGCTAAAATTAGAAGCTCTTAGAAAACTAGTAAACCTAAATCATAAAATTTTGAATTTTCTTAGGTGTATAGAAAATTCTATGTACTTTTACTAAATATAACAATATTAGGACTTATAAGTGCTCTGATTTTGTAAGAAAATCGATTTTTCGAACCCTTCATAATAATGAAAACTCTACCTACACATCTATAAGACCGTACCTATGTTACGAGGTAAAAAAAGGAATTGTCCGCATCTTAATCTACGCTAATAGATTTATAGTTGGGTAACATGATACGTTTGTTGGCGCAATGTTTCACCCTGTAGCCACGACACCGACTGGGTGTTAAAGTAATGTTTCGTCGACTACAACAAGACGAAGCCAGGTAAGCAACCGGGTTTCTATCGTTCGAGATCTACAAAATAATTTTGCTTTGTATACATTTGCAATAATGTGATATGTACTGCCGATGGGATAGACCTTTACATCACCACGACTTGTAGACGATTTTTACGCAGCTTAAAGAACTGTTTCGACATGGAATTGTTCATTGTTTTTCGACTTATAACTGACTTAAAAACCAGATGAAATTTACATATAATAATTCAAATGAAAGTTATACTCAAATATTTCGTGTATTTTACCAAAAAAAGTATGCTAAAATCAATTAATTATTGCCTAAGATCCGTACTTTCTCGGTGCTTCATAAAATTGTTAATCAACGGATTTGTCTTGGTAGCTCTTTTTTATCGCCATTGCAAATTGGATTCTGTAGAAGAAATCAAACAGAATTTGAAATGGATTATTTATGAAAGTGTTTATTCTTATCTCTAATAATTAATTCAGTAACAATGCAAACCGGTGACTTAGCAATAATTTTAAACTACGGAAATATATGCACAATATGACTGTAATGATTGTTAAGGCAGTGTTGGTTATATAACTATTATTAACTAATATAATCTTTCCAAGAATAATATTGGATGGAGGGATTTTACAAGACATATCTTGCTAATTATAAACATTATACCGGGTGCGTACTTTTTTTATTTTTTCAGATAAAAAAAACGAGATTTGATATGTTAGTATATGACATAAATTAGGATTGATTGACGTATTCAATTGTTTTCTTTGATTTTTAATGGCACCCTCGGTATTATTTTTAGTTTATTCAAGAGAAAATGACACTCTGAATCGAATGACTTATCATATGTCAACTTTTGACATATTTGTTCATAAACAAATTGTATTTTAAATTTCAATCTAGAATGCCATTGGCTGTGTTAAAAACACTAATTTTTAATCAAGGAGCTTTGGAAAAATAGATTTTTATCGTCTAGTGTCTTATCCTGGCCGGTTAAAAGATGTCCAAATCGTATTTTTAATCATATCTCAATTTTTTCAAATGGAACGAAGGTGGCTCATTAGCATATTTGGAAAAAGCATTTTTTATGAATAATTTGATACCACACACTTGGTATTTCGAGTCAAATTGTCGTTATAAACCGCATGTTATAATTTCAAATAAACCATATGTAAAATGTCCAAAGTTGACATATGATATGTCATTCATTCAATGCCGAGTGTCATTTTCTATCGAATAAAGTAAAAATATACCGGGGGTGCCATTTAAAAATCAAAAGTTGTAGTCATTTCCGGTGAAATAGGAAGTGACCGAAAACAATTGAATTCGTCTATCAATCCTAATTTATGTCATATACTAACATACCAAATCTCATTGTTTTATCTGAAAAAATAAAAAAGTTATAGGGGGTGAGCCACTTTTGAGACGCACCCGATATAAAAACAAGAATTTCTGCGTTTATTTGTTGTTTTAGTAGAGAACTATTTGCTATACGTAAAAAAACCATTTGTTACACGCAAAAAAATATTTTTTACACGTAAAAAAATATTTTTTTAATTTATTAAGTTCTAATAATAATGATAAAAGTAGAGCCAGGTTATAATAAAAGCGCATACAATTTCCTAGAAACCCTGAAATTTTCGTCATTTTAGGACCAAAGTTACAACTTTTCTTACTATATTTTCCACATGATTTAATAGACAGATTTAAAATTAAAATTAAACTTTAAATTAAAATACGTTATCTTCAAAACTCTACAAATAACATTATTTTCGATAATATAAAATTATTTCATTGATCTGGAACGATACAAAGTCGTTGCCTACTTGATTTCGCCGACAAAAACATTATTTCCACGCCCAGGCAACTAGATACAGGGCGAAACATTGCTTAAATGAAAATATGTTGTTTCTTAACAAGAGTCTTGTAGTTGCGAGTTTATTAGTAAGCACTGGCTCTTTTAGTAATTTCTCTTTGCATGTACATGTCGTTAAATCTACGTCCATTAACAATGTACAAGTTCGACAAGAATTTCTGCGTTTATTTGTTGTTTACTGGCCACCAATTTATTTACGCTGACTGTCTAATGGCCGATGGTGTGTCTAAATTACTTCATTAAATGGTCTTGTTGCTGCTGTTATGTTCACCGCCAAGAAAACATTATTTTATCATTTATATTTGCATATATCTTTAGAATATTTTTAAACTGTTTGTTAACAACTATTGCTTTTTTGATTTTACAGAAATTAAATGGTTAAAATGTTGTCTACATTTATGCCAAAAAGACTGTAGTATGAGTAATGAGTGTGAGTTATTTGAATAAAAGTAAAAAAATATCTGTTCTCGAGGGTCTCAAAAAAATAAAAAAAAATGGTCATAGAATTTTGAAAATTTCAAAGATTGTAGGAAATTTTATGTAAATTCAGAATATATACACCTTTGCAGGGTTAGGTACCTTGGCTTTGTGAGAAAATTAATTTTGTGGAACCTTGTTTTTCAGCTATTTTTGAGGAATGTTAAAACGTCCCTTACGTCCATTACTGTTCTTATAGGATTACAATGGCCTATATTTTCTTATTAATTTAATACACCTTTTAATTAGTAAATAACAGCAGTATTCAGAAAATCAGTGACTTGACCAAAATCGCCAATTTTCATGAGTATATCTATGTATGGAAAAAAGTCGAAAAATTACCATTTTTGGCAATTTTTTATACATTGTCAAGGCTCTCAGAAAAATAGTAAACATGGTGATAAAATTAAGACAATTTTAGGATTTGTAGGAAATTTTATGTAGATTCAGAATATATAAATCTTTGAAGGCTTAAATACCTTGGCTTTGTGAGAAAAATAATGTTTTCGACCCTTGTTTTTCGGTTGTTAATGGTTAAAACGTCCCCTACGTCCATTACTGTTCTTGTAAGACTACAAGGGCCTATATTTTCTTATTCTACACCTTTTAGTTAGTAAATAACAGCAGTTTTAACAAAATCGGTGACAAGGCCAAAATCGCCAATTTTCATGAGAGAAAATGACCATTTTTGGCCATTTTTTACACATTTTCAAAGGCCTTAGAAAAATAGTAAACATAGTCATAAAATTATGAAAATTTCAGCATTTATAGAAAATTTTGTATAGATTCAGAATATATACACCTACGAAGGCTTAGATATTTTGGCTTTGTGAGAAAATTAATTTTTTCAACTTGATCAAAATCGCCAATAATTTTCATGAATTTTTGGCTTTTTTTACACATTTTCAAGACGCTCAGAAAAATAGTAAGTACGGTGATAAAATTATGAAAATTTTAGGATGTGTAGGAAATTTTATGTACCTACTTTTAGAATATATAAAGCGTTAAAGGTTTAAATGCTTCGGTCTTGTGAGAGGATCCATTTTTTTAGCCCTTGTTTTTGAACGATTGTTAAAACATTGCCTACGAATAGAGCACTCGTAAATAACAAAGGCTTCTATATTTCCTTATTCTACATCATAAAATTAATTAACAATGGTTTAAAACATATAAATTAATAAAAATATATATCGAATAAATATAAAAAAAATTACTGCGATTGAAGACCGGTAAAATAATATTTAAAATTCTACTTCGATTTGATGACACCTACTCTACGAATCTAGGTTACTATAAACGTCTATGCAATGTTAATGTTGGAGCGTGACATTCTCAACAAGCCTGTGTCGTAGTCTTGCGAACCCTTTCTCACGATTTCAGAATAATTACTATTTCCACGCCTATAAACCATTTTAATAAAGCACTTTTGTCTTTAATACCGATCGCAAACTAAACAAAAATTCGGCGGCTCTCAATCGTCTCTCAATATATATTGGAAATAAAAAGAACAATAATCTAGGCTCTATCAATTCCTGGTTGTTAAGTAACCAATCAAATTAACTCAAGCATTTAAAAATATTAAATAACAGCCACTTTGTTTCAACTTCATTCAGCAGTTACCTTGGTTTTATTTTAATATAAATCTAGACCACATTTTACATATATCGCTTTTTGTATAGTACTTATTTTGCTTTCATTTCAAAATAAAACTATCGACATGACTTGTTTTTATAATATTTCAATTAAGAAATAATTATTGATAGAATAATAATATCCATTTTAATCAGCTAGACCAATGTCCTTTTTTAATTTAATTATTTATCAAATTTTTAAAATATTTTTTTTTGTATGAATATAAATAATTTTTTTTTTATTTCTATCCAAATTTTTAGCCTGATTATGACGATCAAGAAGAACAAAACATGATTAAAGCGTTCCCTTCATCCAGAAATAATAAGGATAAATCGAAAGATAACAAAAAATATGGTAAGCAAAATTATATTTTATTTTAAAATATATTTTTTAAAATGTTTTTTTTTTCAAACGTCACAAAAGTATTAATTTTTGCGACGTGATTGACAATATAAAAAAATCATTTTAACACCTAGGCATAAAAGTAAAGCAATTTTAGGAAAATATATTATAAAATTGACATAAAGTGTCAAATCCAAAGAGCCGTAACCATAGTTTCTTGAAATATAATTACTTACAAGGTATTAGTTTTAAATTTTTTTTATATTATTTGGGACGTTTAAAATTGTTTTAAATTAAATTATTTGTAACGTTTGAAAAAAAAGCATGTTCTATTCGGAGTAAAAATGACTTTTTATTAGAAGTAAACAACTGGCACAAAAAATACCACATTTATGAGCAATGGAAAGTCAATACATAAATAAAATTTCTTATAAAAAACATCAATAGAAAATCTTTTTTAAACCGAATAAAATTTCAGTTTGTCCGTTTCCCGGCGCATTCGCCATTTTCTAAAACAGATAGTAAATTTTAATGAAAAATAAATAATGTAATTAAATATTATTTACAGTTAATTATAACATATAATTCGTTAAATAATATAAATTATTATTTCTTTTATTAGATGATCCTTATTACTGTGGATTGAGAGCTCGAGTTCCGAACTTTGCAAAAACAAAATCTAAGGAGTCGATGCCTTCCAAAAGATATTCCATAAGCCAACAACAGCAACAACAAATGTTGATGCATCAACAAATGAACATGAATCATCATCAAATCCACCCCCATTCGATGTGGCACGCTAGGAGTTATGAAAGTGGCATAGGTAATATTTTTTTGACATCTCAAAATAAGAAAAAATAATGTATTCCTTTATTTCAGATTCTGATGCGATGGAATCGCCTTATAACCAAATCTATGGGCGATTACCAATTCCTACCAGGAATTATATACCTCCACAACCTCGGACAATGTATATTGGAGAGTGGGATTGAAAAATATTATAATTCATTGTACATTCCATCATTTTAATATTATTTTACTCGAAATGGCTCTTCTACATATTGATTTTTTCAAGAATCAATTCTTCTACCATTCATAAAACTATTTAAATCTAACGCATTTGGTTATACCCTTTTTTATTGTTAGGCTAACTAAAAATTATGGGACTTTAAAATTGTTACATTTCTTTCTTAAGTACTAATAAGTTTCAGATTTAATTACCGTACTCATAACGTTAATGATTGAGTTTTTTGTAAATATTTCTAAGTAACTATAGAATTACGAAATGCAATATTATATTTAAAACCTTTAGCAAAATTACTTTATGAAATACTCAAATAATTTGTAATAGGATATTAAGATATGGTGCGTTATCATATAATCTTGTATGTTATAGTAACATATATTTGTCTTGAATAATGTGATTACGTTTAGTAAATATTTTATAATTTTAGCAATATTTTATTTATAAGATACCGTTACGTCTGTATAGTACACCTTTGTATATTCCCTTTGATATTTTTCTAAATTATACAATAAATGGTGATGGCAAACATAATATTAAAGTGTTTTTCTCAACATCCAATGCAGTTTTCAAACAGCTAATCAAATAAACTACAGTTTTTAATCAATTTATTAAATATATCATATACCTGTTATATAATTATTTTAATCGTCAATAAGGGCGGTATTATAATAAATAATACCCTGTACCACTTATTTGGAAACCTAATAAACAAGGCTATAGAGTTTAAAAATTACGCCCATGCTATAGACAACCAGAGTTACATCTATTAAAAACATATGTTGCCAACACTAAAATTCAAAAAATAACAAAATATTGACATTTAATTTGTCTACATAACCCCACTTATTTGCCCATATAATTCAAAATATGCTGGTAAGAAAATTTATATATTTATCATTGATTATTAATAAAATAACTGACAATTTATTTACAAAAGGAAACACAAGACTGGAAAGATTTTTCTATCGATTCATGGTACGAAAAATTCCAACACATTGCCATAAAAACTCTTATTCTGGAAATACCTGCAGATATTTTATCAAAGTTCCAATATGAGGAAGCCTCAGAAATATCCGATGATGAGGAAACTTTGGACGAAGAGGTAGTTTTACCAAATGAGTTTAAAGAAAAACTTAAAAACGCCTTAAATTGTCTAGGAAAAACAGTTTTTGTGAAAAACAACTGGCATGCTCCAATGGTATGGAATAATATGGAAAGCTACAAAGTTTTATAACGATCAGTTTTACTTTTAAGGATGCAAAAATGTTTAGTGTTGGTAATACACTGAAGGCTCAAAATATAGACGATATTATTCTATATTTTACCACGTCAACCATTATACAAGAAGATTTTTCAAATGTTAAAGCAATACCTTTTTGTATCGCTTTAAGGAAATGGATTTGTATTCATCCTGCTGCAGAATTTAGATGTATTGTCATAAATAACATTTTAAGGGGCAAGTTACCTGTAAAAGATGAATTTGTTTTATCTTTATTCGGTATATTTTATAGGTATAACACCTAGGGATTGGCCTACTTTTTACAATCACTATAAAGAGGAAGGACAAGAAATAATTGAAAAATTACAGAAATTTTTCACAGAAAACGTAAAGGAAAAATTTATTAGAAAAAACTGTAAATTTCTAATAAACTACGCAAGATACAAAAAATATCTGTTCTTTTTTAGATACCTTTGATGTAGTACTCTCATATCCAGACCAACCAGTCATTTTGGATTTTGGCCCCCTGAATACCAAAACAAATTTATATGCATTTTCATGGAAAGAAATCGGTCCCCTGCTTAATAAGGTTGATATTTAAATAAAAATTAATATAATCCATGCCCAAACTGATATTAATGAAATTACAGGAAGTACCAGCTGAAGTGGCGCCAGTATTTCGATATTTGGAGTCAGATATAGGGATCATGACACGTGCAGATGCCCTCAGGAAAATCAGAGTGTCTGAATAATATAAATAATACCCTTTTGTACACCATAAGATTATAATTTTAACCTTTTTATCTTTACAACATATACAATAAATACCTATTAAGGAGGGCGCGCACTGCATCGGATCGGACCGACCCACATAGGTCATTTTATGTAATTTAGGAATTAATAAATAAAAAAATTGAATGTCGAAAAAAATATTTTTTTATATTTCATCTTGGAGCTAGGGCCCCATAGATATTATTTCTGCAATATTATATTTTAATATTAACAGAGGTGGCCATGGCGAGAATGACAATATCAAAGTTTGTTTGAATTATTTCACATTGTAAAATTACTGTCATTAGTTCATAAAGTTTCGAATTTTGTTGTTCTGAATAGAAAGTGAGTTTAAAAAGTAGTGTTGTGTTATTGTGTACCATAAGGTAAGATTTATTATTAAAAAAAATAATATCCGTGTAAAAAGCTTGTGACTTGGCGAAAAGATACAATGTTTTAATAAAAAGAAAAAAATAGTTTTTTTTTCATAACCTTGTATTTAAAAAGGTTTATAATTCAGGATTTATACAGATTTATTTCAAGAACATTTTTTTCCTATTCACAATCTTTTTATCGATTAATCTATTCTAAATTTAGCTGCCAAGATGTGCCAAGAGAATAAATATATATTGTTTTAGGTACCATGTCAATAGAAAAATCTCTCTTGTTTTTTGCTTGATGTGAAGGCAATTCTTTGAAGGAAAAAAAATGCATCTGTTTTGCGATTTGTTCTGAATACGCTAAACTTAGGGCAACATGATGGCGACGAACATTATAATGAAATAGTGGAAATTATTAAAAAATTAAATTATTATTATTATTACTCTTTGTCTAAATGTCTGGGAGCACGGTCAAATAAGGAACCACTTATCAAAGAGGTTCTTAATTTACTTCGAGGGCGTACTTTACAGGCATCAGAGTTAGGACAAAATGATGAAAATATTAATCAGGATGATGATGATCATTATTGATAATTGAATATTATTGTTACATAAATTTCTTTAGTAAAATAGTTTTATTATCATTTTATTTATATTTGTTAAATGTTTTAGGTGGTTTTTTTCATTGTTCAAGCCAATTTTTACTTTCAATTACTAATACAGTACATCTTCTGTAAACCTTCTAGATACTAATAAATTCACTTACAAAAAACTAACGAACTACAGTTTTTGTTTGAGTTCGATATAATAAAATGAAAAAAAAAATAATATATTTCGTAAGACACCCTGTACAAGCATAAAATGAAACAAAATATCATTATTCCACGCATTTATTTATTTTCTTACCAAACAAATTATTTTTGTTTTAAAAAATAATTTAAATTTTAAAGGTATTATTTATTACCGCCTAAATTGGCGAAAATGACCTATGTGCGACCATCGTACATATAGACGGCGCCAGCGTCCACTAAAACATTTCGGCCTGTAGAGGCCAGATTCCTACCTCTACCTATCTACGATAGTCGAGTCACCACCTTCGCCGTTTCTCGCCGGACTGGTACATGATGTTAATATGGTTGCCTAATAAAAAGCTATAAGTAAATATTTGTTTCAAAATTTTTGGTAATAATAATCAAATAGAGTAACACTTTCATTTACTAAAACAGAATGATATTACACAAATTATTATTATCGATATACCTACTATCTTTAGTTCAAGGCAAAGAAATTCTCAAACAAATCCATATTGTAAGTAATTTTTTGTAAAATAAGACAAAATTAGGTTAGCTACAATAATTTTCAGGTTTTCAGACATGGAGAAAGAAGCCCTACAAGTACTTACCCTAATGATCCCCACAAAAATTATACATGGCCTGGTGTTGGATATTTAACAAACGTAAAAGTAAAATAAACTAATATTGAATTTATAAGCAATAAAATTTCAGAGAGGAAAATTACAAATGTACACTCTTGGGCAAAATTTGAGGACAATATATAGTGAATTTGTTCCAAAATATTATTGGCCTCTTGATGTTAACTTTACCAGTAGCTATTCTGATAGATGTTTAATGAGTGGACAGCTAGTAGCTTCTGGATTATTTCCACCAAAAGATGTTGAAATTTGGAACCCAAGTCTTCTCTGGCAGCCTATTCCTATGCACTATTTACCAAGAAATATAGATAATGTAGTACATATCCTGTTTGTTTATGTATTTATCAAATTATATCCCTTTTCAGTTAATTGTAATGAGGACAAGCTGTGCTAAATATGATCAGGAGTTTATAGATGTCCATAGTTCAGCAAAAGTGGAACAATACAATAAAGAATATAGTAATCTGTACAAATATCTAACAGAACATACAGGGATGGAGATAAATAACATAGAGGCAGTAGAATCTTTATATAACACTTTGGACATTCAACAACTAAATAACTTAACATTACCTGACTGGGTTAATAGTTCTCTATTAGCTGAAATGAAGATAATAGGTGCTCAAAACTTAGCTATTTATTCTGAAACTGAGTACATGAAAAAAATGAAGGGAGGTAAACCAGACAATACATTAAACATAAGATAAAAGACTTAAAAATTATTGTTTTAGGTTTCTTTCTAACTACAGTGCTGAGTTTGATGAAACGCTCTTTAAATGGATCTCTAGTTCCTTCTATAAATCTTTATTCTGCTCATGATTTAACATTGGTTCATATTATGAGAGCATTAAATTTGGTTGACATTTTGAAGCCTGATTTTGGAGCTACATTAATTATTGAGCTGTACGAAAATGCCTCCTTAAAAGTAAATGATCCAAACATGAATAAAAAGCGCATCTACTATAACAAACGTATTTTACAGATATTTTATTTAACAGATTGGAATGGAACTCCCCAAGAACAAGTTTTAAAAGAATGCAACAATCCTTGTACAATAGAAAAATTCAGTGAAGCTTTCAAGGCTGTATTACCAACAAATTGGACAGAGGAATGCCAGTATACATAACTTTGTACTGAAGAACTTATTGTCAGTTATTGTGTAATAAAATACTTGGAGAGATATACTGTTATTTAATATACGCCTTTAAAATTACTGGAGAAACTACAAAGTGTGCCTAAACAAAAGTTTATACATATATTTATAGTATCTTACAATTGGAAATAATTTGTTCCCCTTATCTAATAATGCACATCTATATTTATATACTTTCTTGTTTACGTTTTAAAAAATTCGACCATGAACTTTAAAATTGTAAATATGAAATTAGTATTTATTGGAGATTAGAGAGAAAATTTTAAAATAAAAAAACTCTCAGTATAAATTACTAAAAATTATTCAAAATAAAATATATAAAAGTACATCACTACAATAATATTTTAATTTATAATAAAAATATTTAATGTCGTGTGTTTAACTGGCTGCCTAAGCTATATACTGAAAATAAATATAATAAAAAATAAGACAATACTTCATTAGAATATTTGATTAATTTTGCTTTAAAGTCAAATACATTAAAGTGTTTAAATATTAATTATTATTTTTAAATAATATAAATCAATTAGTAAAAATGAATATCCATAGAAAACCTATTATGGATTGGCTACACTGACATATTTTTTTCGACATTTGACACAGTTTTCCAAGTTATCAACGTCAGTGTCACTTTGATTCCGTACTCAACTATTTTTAAGTGAATATATTTAATAGAAAACGGGCTTTTATAGATACTAGAAATAGAGAAATAGATTTAAGTAAAGTTTCTTAATATATATCAGAAATTACAGGTAAAAGGTTTATGTAAGTTCCATGATATATCCTTTTATATTTGTCTGTCAAACCGCTATCAATAAGGGGGAGGTTCTCATTATATATTTTAAAGTAAATGGCAAAAACATTATTAATTTTTAGATCTTCTTATACATATTCTGTAGGGAGATACAGAAATCATGCCAGCCGTTAGGGGTGATGGCATGCGAGGCCTAGCAGTATTTATATCAGATATAAGAAATTGTAAGTGACTACAATTTTTAGTCATGTTCCTCAAATATACTTAAGAATTTAATTATACTTGCCTTACCAGGTCCACAAGTCCTCCTTCATACATTTGTAACGTTGAATTTTCAGGTAAAAGCAAAGAGGCTGAAATAAAAAGAATAAATAAAGAACTAGCCAATATACGTAGCAAATTTAAAGGTGACAAAACTCTGGACGGCTATCAAAAGAAGAAATATGTATGTAAACTCTTATTTATATTTCTTTTGGGACACGACATCGATTTTGGACATATGGAAGCTGTTAATTTACTATCATCCAACAAATACTCAGAAAAACAAATAGTAAGTTACATTTAATAATACTTCAGTTTGAATTTTTAAGTCGGAACACTTGTATTACTTCTAGGGATACCTTTTTATATCAGTTCTGGTAAATACTAATAGTGAGCTTATAAAACTTATTATCCAAAGTATAAAAAATGATCTTGCATCAAGAAACCCTATCCATGTCAATCTTGCATTACAATGTATTGCAAATATTGGTAGTAGAGAAATGGCTGAAGCTTTTGGTAATGATATACCTAAACTTCTTGTTTCTGGGTAAGTGGTAGATCAGATATATGATTAAAAATTTTCTCCTCTAAACTTAAATATCATTGTATGTCTTCTAACTGCTTCATTTTTAAATTTTAGAGATACAATGGATGTTGTTAAGCAAAGTGCAGCTTTGTGTCTATTGAGGCTCTTTCGAACATCTCAGGATATAATACCAGGAGGTGAGTGGACTTCAAGGATAATACATTTATTGAATGATCAACATATGGGTGTTGTTACTGCCGCAACCAGCTTAATAGATGCTTTAGTTAAAAAGAACCCAGAAGAGTATAAAGGATGTGTCTCATTAGCTGTATCTAGACTCAGTAGAGTAAGTAAATTTATAATTATATTAATATTTTAGTTTATTAAAATAATTTTCCAGATTGTAACCGCTAGTTATACAGATTTGCAAGATTATACATATTATTTTGTACCAGCTCCGTGGCTCTCTGTAAAGTTATTACGTTTATTACAAAATTATACTCCACCAGGTACAGTAAGATACCAAAAATTATGTACTTGCTTGTAATTGTTTATATTTTTTAGCGGAAGACCCTGGTGTACGTGGGAGACTCAATGAATGTTTAGAGACAATTCTTAACAAAGCACAAGAACCCCCAAAGTCTAAGAAAGTACAGCATTCTAATGCGAAAAATGCTGTGCTTTTTGAGGCGATTAGTTTAATAATTCATAACGATAGGTGAGGGCATTTTTCATGAACGTAGACATCTCTATAAATCATACATTTTTAGTGAAGCGAATTTATTGGTTAGAGCATGTAACCAACTGGGCCAGTTTTTAAGCAACAGAGAAACAAACTTGAGATATTTAGCTTTAGAATCTATGTGTCATTTAGCCACTTCGGAGTTTTCTCATGAGGCTGTGAAGAAACATCAAGAGGTAGTAATTCTGTCCATGAAAATGGAAAAAGATGTTTCAGTGAGACAACAAGCTGTGGACCTACTTTATGCGATGTGTGATAAGAGCAATGCAGAGGAAATAGTACAAGAGATGCTGAATTATTTAGAAACAGCAGATTATTCCATAAGGGAAGAGATGGTGCTGAAAGTTGCCATTCTAGCTGAAAAATACGCCACTGACTATACCTGGTATGTTGATGTAATTCTTAATCTTATCAGAATTGCTGGTGATTATGTTTCTGAAGAAGTGTGGTATAGAGTTATCCAAATAGTGATTAACAGGGATGAAGTACAGGGATATGCTGCTAAAACAGTGTTTGAAGCACTCCAAGCCCCAGCTTGCCATGAAAACATGGTTAAAGTTGGTGGTTATATTTTGGGTGAATTTGGTAATTTGATTGCCGGAGATCAGAGGTCTTCTCCAGCTGTACAGTTCCAACTACTTCATTCTAAATACCATCTCTGTTCACCAATGACAAGGGCTCTCTTATTATCCACATACATCAAGTTTATTAATCTGTTCCCTGAAATAAGAACACAAGTGCAGGAAGTGTTTAAACAGGACAGCAATTTAAGATCAGCAGATGCCGAGTTGCAACAAAGGGCCTCTGAGTATCTTCAGTTGAGCATCATCGCTAGTTCAGATGTTCTAGCTACAGTTCTGGAAGAGATGCCAGCTTTTCCTGAGAGAGAAAGTTCCATCTTGGCTGTGCTCAAGAAAAAGAAGCCTGGAAGGGTTCCAGAAAATGATGTGAAAGAAAACAAGAGTCCTACTCCCATCACTGCTTCCAATCATACCAATGAAATTAATGCCAGGTAACATTTCTTTTCTTGGTGACCTAATTGATGTATAATTGTAAAAAAAATTACAGCAACACAAGTCAAGCTGATTTATTAGGATTATCCACACCACCTACATCTCAGCCTAACAATTCCAGCAACACCGGTGTCTTACTTGATGTCTTAGGGGATATATACAGTAAACCAAATAATAATGTTGGTAATCAAAATTCATCTTTAGTTGTAGATCCCAAAAAGTAAGTTAATGTACATAGTTTATTTGCCTTGTTTAAACAACATATTATGTATATTTCGTAGATTTGTCTGCAAAAATAATGGAGTTCTTTTTGAAAACGAGCTTATTCAAATTGGGGTGAAGAGCGAATTCCGTCAAAATTTGGGCAGATTGGGATTATTCTATGGCAACAAAACAACTACGTCTTTACAGAACTTTGTCCCTACCCTTCTATGGTCTGAAGAACAAGCCGCAAAGTTGAGTGTTCAAATGAAATCAGTTGAACCCACTCTTGAAGCTGGCGCACAAATTCAACAAATGATCAACGCTGAATGTATAGACGACTATACTGGTATGAGAGAAGTTCTTAATTTTTTATGAGAGTAATTTTTAACCTTATTTACAGACGCTCCTAACATAGTCGTGAGCTTTGTATACAATGCAGTTCTACAGAAAATTACAATCAAGCTTCCATTAACACTGAACAAATTCTTTGAACCCACTGAAATGAACGGCGAATCATTCTTCGCCAGGTGGAAAAATTTGGGAAAGTATGTTTCAAAATTATAGATATCTAACTAAAAAAATACTCATAAATTTGATTATATGTTTTCAGCGCAAACCAACAGAGATCCCAGAAGATTTTTAAAGCCTCCCAACCAATGGACCTCCAGGCATCCAGACAAAAAATGATTGGATTTGGAATGCAGCTCTTGGATGGTATTGATCCCAACCCTGATAATTTCGTTTGTGCCGGTATTATTCACATGAGATCTCAGCAAGTCGGGTGTTTACTACGTTTAGAACCAAATAAAAATGCTCAGGTAAGTGAAGTAAGGAATATTTGATTTATACGGGGTTGTTCACCTCATTCGACACAGAGTATTGTAGCCACAAAATTAGATTTTTAGAAATAGTGAGTGATGGGATCTTTGGAATATTACTAAAGCTACAATTTAAGAGAGAGTGTTGAAGAGATAGGTAAAAAATGGCATAATACAGTTTGATAGACAATTAAGTTGTGCATCTGACTCACGTAAAATATAGGATTATTTCCCTACAAATGAATATCTACTAGTGGGTAAATGAATTTGTAGATATATTACGACTTTTCTTGGAACTTTAGTTTCGGAGATATAAATTTAATCAGACCTTTTTAAGAAAATTAATTTTATTTTTCAGAAACTATTTGAGACAGAGTTTGCCAAACATGCTTTTTATATCTACTAGTGGGTAAATGAATTTGTAGGGATATACAGGGATTTAAATTAAACAAGTTATTGCCGTTTAAAGCTAGTAATTATTATTATATATAAATTTTTAGACACTCTGTATAAGGTAGTATTATTTTTATTACTGCAACACAAAATTTAGTAAATAGAAAAACTTCAGTACAATATTTGATTTTGGTTTTGAGAAAATGAAGCATTAAAATTGTTACTACATTTTCACAAAATCGTAAATACACACACCGGAAAATCTAGGGATATCATTTTATTAAAGTTAAAAATAAATGTCTTGAATAAACAACCACATATTTGTAGTGATGGGCAAAACTGTTATTTTTAGATAACAGTTGAAACTGTTATAGTTATTTATAAAAAACAGCTTAAAATAACAGCTTAAAATAACAGCTTAAAAATAACAGGTTTCTTTATTTTATTGCTAAATATCTGAAAGAATATGAGGCGGTCACCGCCAGGCGTATTAACGCAGTTGCAACAATGACGTGCTCGGTGGTAGTATTTCCAGGGTGTCATAACATTTCTAAATATCGATTGTTATCTAAAATACCTCTCTAAAAACGGGGGTTGTTTACAAATAAGCGCTGTTTACAAATTGCGATATAAAAAAGCCAAAATGCCGCCACTCGTCTATATCTATAAATTCCGATCTACCTACGCCCTACCCCTCGATCCGCGTAGATTCTGAATTGCGTAGCAGTGTACAGGGTGCATCTCACTCGACGGGCGAGAAGCTCTTCGTTATGATTTTACCATTTGCGGTCAAAAAATAGCAATATAAGAAAATGTGTAGTATATTCTTCATAAGTAAACCAACTACACACTAGAGTTCGAATTAATTTTACACTTAAACTAGCATGTACAGTTTGACAAATATAGGAAGAGACTTGGGGATAGCACCGGTCGCGCACACGATAGAGAGAGAACGCATTCGGCGGAAGAGAGATGCAGTTACGCTACGAAAAATCTGATTGAAGCAAATTTGTGGGATGTCCACTGCGCATCGGGGGGCGTCTCTTATTTTATATTTCTCACGTCTCTAGCTATACTTGTTAAGTTGTACCCGCGACTTCGTTCGCATCGAATTATTAATTTGTAATGGTGATGATAAAGCAAAGCAAGAATTTCCATTAACATACAAACTGGATAAAATTTTCTCACATTTGCCAAAAATATGCTTTAAACGTCGAGCAGTTTAAGCAGAATCGTGGTTAATCAATTACTCAACTTTTTGGAACACCCTGTATTATTTTTTAAAAAATTTCAAAATATGTAAAAAAACAAAATAAATTATGCGTGTCCAATCGTTTTCCCGAAAGACTAACCGTTTTTTAAATAATAAATATTGTAATATTTGAGGGGCGTTTTCACCCTCTTGGAATTTGAGATTCGAGAAACCCCTCCTTATCGCACCTCTACACCCCACAGTCAATCCGTTTACCAAAAATCAGCTTTAAACGTCAAGCAGTTTAAGCAGAATAGTGATTACTCAGTGGTCATATTTTATGAAACACCCTGTATATATTTTGTAAAAATCTCAAAATATGTAAAACAACAAAATAAAATATACGTGTTTAAGAGTTTTTTCGAAAAACTCACCAGTTTTTAAATAAAAAATATTCTAATATTTGAGGGTGGTTTCACCCCCTTAGAATTTGAGTTTCGAAAAATCCCTTCTTATCGCACCTCTACACCCTAAAGTCAATCCGTTTTCCAAAAATCAGCTTTTTACGTCAAGGGCTTTAAGCAGGATCGTGATTAATCAATGACCAGATTTTTCAAAACACCCTGTATACATTTTTAAAAAATCTTAAAATATTATTCTGAAAATTTTTCAGAATAAATAAATACTTAAATATTGAAACTTAATAACAAAGTATTGAAACATACAGCGCCATAATATCTCGACCTCCGCCCGTTATGCTCGTAACAGGTTGAAAAACAATATGTATCTAAAACAACTGATGCGTTATTCTCCAACCTGTTTCAAACCTCCGATTATCTCGAACGCCGTTCTGTTATGCTCGTAACAGGTAAAAAAACAACATAGCTAAAACAACTGATGCGTTATTCTCCAACCCGTTGCGAGCCTCCATCGACAATCGACCGATGCAGCAGCGCTCCTTTCCCACTCCTGTTATCTCGACAGCCAGGCGTTATGCCCGCAACTGTTTCAAAAAAGCTGCTTCTTTTATATCCTATTATTTTTAAGCTGTTGTCAGCCCAACACGACGCGCCGCGCCGTAGCGCATACCCCACTCCGTTGTCCGTTGTATCTCGCCGCCTGTATCGATGGTTGTCGAAATAATAGGTTTTCCATCCATACTAGTTGTTTTTTGGAATTGCTTCGAGCAGCATCGAATTTCGTGGCGGTGCAGAGCGCCGACTTCGTTTCACGAACACTCGATCTCTGCGTGTCGTTATTTTATATCTGTTATTTTTTAAAAGCAGTAACGGTTGCGTTATGTTATTTCTAAATAATTGTTATAAAATAACAGATAGTTAAATAACAACCCATCACTACATATTTGTAGGCCGATTCTTTCTACTTCGATTGAAACGAAGTGGTCACACTAGTTATTTCTAAATTTGGGATATTTGCAGAAGTGTTTGTGCATTTTTTGTCAAATGTATAAAAAGCACCAAGCATCAGTTGTTCGAATTTAACCTGTACTGGCTATGTTTTTGTGATAACTGACCAGAATTCATTCAAATAACTCTGTTTAGTATTAAACGACATTATGGAGCGTAGACATCTTAACAGAGACGAAATGCTAAGGGCCATGGGTATGCTTGAAGCTGGAATGCGCCAAATCAACGTAGTTAGAGCATTAAATACAAGGCAAGGTGTAATATCGCGATTAAGTGCACGCTACCGTGAAAGTGGTGATGTTGCAGAAAGGCACACAGGGCGACATCGCATTACTACCCCTCAGGAAGATCATTTTTTACAATTAAATGATCGACGCCGACCGACTCTTACAGCACCAGAGCTTAGTTTAATTCTCCAGGAAACACATAATGTAACCGTTAGTCCTGACACTGTTCACAATAGATTAAGAGAGGTCAACTTAAGAAGTAGACGCCCCTGGAGAGCTCAACCCTTAACGAGAGGAAATCGAGAAGTACGATATTTGTGGGCTCAAGATCATGTTCAGTGGTCGAATGAACAATGGGCCAATGTTCTCTTCACGGATGAGTCACGCTTTGGAATTCATCCGGATTCGAAAAGACTTAGGGTATGGAGAGAACCGGGAAATCTTATTCGGTTAGATCATGTTCAGGAAGTGCACCCTTATCAAGGTGGAACAGTTATGGTCTTGGGAGGAGTCCAGTTAGGCCGAAAAACCGATCTCGTTTTTCTTGAAAGGTTTCTAACAGGAATCACATATCGTGATTTAATTCTTGAGCCTGTCCTGTTACCTATGACCTATGCTAATGATTTTGGGAGAAACTTCATTTTCATGCATGACAATGCACGGCCTCATACAGCCAGAGTGGTAAGTGAGTTTATCAATGCTCATCAATTAAACATCTTACCCTGGCCGGCACAATCTCCTGACCTCAACCCCATCGAGCACGTATGGGACGCGGTCCAAAGAAGAATTTTGAGAATGGGTATGCCTCGTGAAACTCGTTTCAGGGATCTGGTTCGGGCCGTGAATGCAGCGTGGCAGGCTGTACCTCAAGAAGAGATCGACAACCTGATCAGGAGCATGGAGAGACGATGTAGGGCTGTAATGAACAGTAGAGGAGGTCATACCCTTTATCTTTTTTTTTAATTCACAGTTTAGAATTAAAAAAAATGTGTGTATTTTTTTGAGTTCAATAAAAATCAAGGCAAATTTAAAAAATTCGGTAAATTTCGCATTTTTATTTCCAATACGTCCTGTAAACTATTTGTTTATTTTAATTTTATTATCAGAAATGCAAATAATAAAATTACTGAAGATGGCTGGATAAAATTGTAATATCCCTAGACTTTTCCGGTGTGTGTATTTCAAAAACGGTAACATTAAAGTGCGGTAAACCTTAATCAAATTACGTAGAAACTAAAAATGTAATAATTAATAATATATTGGAGTTCCATTGAAAAAATACAACTTTTATATTTTTTCTTTATTTGGGACACTCTGTACCTTTTGAAAATAATTTTAAATTGTAGTTTTAGTAGTCTTTCAACGAGCCCATCACTCACAATAATCTAAAAATCGAATCATTTGGCTACAGTACAACCCTGCCTAGTTGCAAGATTTAGATAAATTTCCCTGGATCTAGTGAAAATCAGGGTGATTTGACGTTTTTTTACAGATGTATCGTTTAACTGTGCGCTCAAGCAAAGAACCTGTATCAGTAGAGATTTGTGAGTTGTTGGCAGAACAATTCTGAAGAGGCTTAGACTAAAAACGTTAGAATACATTCCAGTTAATATTGCTGTGTAATTATATCAGATCATCTGTACAATATATCTTTATTGTAACAATTCGTTGTTAAATTTGTGAGAAAAAGACTATATTGGAGATAATGAAAGAACCATTCTGTTATTTTTGAAAATCATATATGAGGCACTGTATATTTTGTATTAGTTGGCTTTTTCGTCGTTCAATTTGTGCACTGACTTTTGATGACATTGACATAGACAATAAGTTCCCCATGTAACCAAAAATGTATGTATAAACAAGACGAATATTTTAATTTGTAAAATGTGTAATAGATGTAGTTGTTCATTTTACTTTGCGCGATATTTATATATGGTTATTTATTAAAAGAGATAGAAATTGTTGTTTAAAAAATACTCTGAAATGCAGCCGATCAAAATGCCATTTATAGGCCATTCTTGTATGTTTATTTTATGTTGAACCCATTTTAATATCCTCCTTTGTTCTTGGTTAACGCTTAAGGAACGTAGAGAGGAAATTAAAATTTAGTTAAGGAAGAAAGATAATGTTCATTTATGTATTTTGTTGCTTTATTTAAAATATATTAAACAATAACAGAAAATAGAGCCATGTAAAACATTAAATGTTTAATATTGAAATAAGTTTATGTGTTTATTTTTTTACGAAAAAGATCTGCTGAAAATCGAATAACTCTTATTTCTGCTCTATAAACGATGTAAAGTGTTTTTCCTTCACTCTTAGAATATAATGTAAAAACATGCAAATGTATAATTTATCAATACTGTAATTAGTCTCTTATTTGAATATATGCTATGTAATGTTTAGGAAAAAGTGTTCTTGCTTTATTTTAAACTAGGTACATAAAAATTCAGGTTTGTAATAATAAAGCCACTCCTGCCAAAGTCCACTTGGCCGGTTTGTCCTTAGTTTTCAAATTAAAAGTCCAGACGAAAGTGGGTCCCCTCGTCTTAGTTTTGTACACAGGACATTCGTACATATTCCTTAAATCCTGCTTGTCCTGTGTAATGGCTTTTATGTTTATCACCGGCATGGCGGGATACAGTTCTTTTAGTCTAGAGTCCATTATTATCCCAGCCTGGACATCCCACCTTGCACCTTCCATATGCAACCCGTGCACGTACGCACCGTCCCGGGGTGCACTCCTAAAATATTCTCTAAGTAAATTCACACTCAGAGCTGTAACAAGTCAGTTTCAAAAAGTCTTAAGTCATTTCTAAAATCAAAATGATTTAAATCTTGAGTCTTTGACTTAAATCATTTTCTTATAAGTCAAGTCATTTTTGTAAAGACTTAAATCAATATGCTGTAATTTAAGTCGTTTTTATGACTTAAGTCTATTGATTTAAATCATGATCTGCCAGTTAAGTCAAAATTCAAATTAAGTACCTATTTTTTAATGTCAATGTAAATTTTCTTGTATTACCGATTGCCGATTTCATTATTACCTATATTATTAACTAGCGTGTATCAGCGACTTCGTTCGCGTCGAATTAATCATTTGTAATGAAATGATAAAGCAAAGGAAGAATTTCCATTAACATACAAACTGGATAAAATTTGCTCACATTTATGTCAGCATGAGAAAAACAATATGGCGATATTATTCTATAACTTGGTAATATTTGAGGGGTAGTTTCATCTCGTTGGAATTTGACTTGAAAAATCCGTTTGCCAAAAATATGCTTTTTACGTCAAGCAGTTTAAGCAGAATCGTGGTTAAGAAATTACCCAACTTTTTGGAACACCCTGTACGATTTTTTAAAAAAATTCAAAATATGTAAAAAAAAACAAATAAATTATGCTTGTCCAAGCGTTTTCCCGAAAGACTAACCGTTTTTTAAATAACAAATATTGTAATATTTGAGGGGCGTTTTCACCCTCTTGGAATTTGAGATTCGAGAAACCTCTCCTTATGAAACCTCTACACCCCGTTTTTACACTCAACCGTTTGCCAAAAACCATCTTTAAACGTCAAGCAGTTTAAGTAGAATCGTTATTACTCAATGGTCATATTTTATGAAACACCCTGTATAAATTTATAAAAAATCTTAAAATATGCAAAACAACAAAATAAAATATACGTGTTTAAGAGTTTTTCCGAAAAACTCACCGGTTTTTAAAGAAAAAATATTTTAATATTTGAGGGATAGTTTCACCCCCTTAAAATTCGAGTTTCGAAAAATCGAAAAATCTTATCGAACCTCTACACCCGAAAGTCAATCTGTTTTCCAAAAATCAGCTTTTTACGTCAAGCGCTTTAAGCAGGATCGTGATTAACCTTTCCGGGACCGTGCGGGGTATTTTAGGTACCCCAGATGCGTTTTTTCTTTAATAACTTTTACAATTTTTATTTCTCAGTTTTTTCCTATCAGGTAATCCTCGAATATATATTACAAAACCCTTTTTTAACAAAATTAGCCAAATAATTTTTTTATTTTCGGCGAAAAACTGAAATTTACTGCCTGGGGTACCTCCGTTACCCCGCACGGCCTACTGTGATTTGAAGTCCTACACGCACTATTCATGTTTTTTCGTGTTGGTAACTTTGTATGAAGACGTAAACAAGTTCTATATTCAGTTTAGTGTTGATATTTACTGTGATGTAGTAAGTTAGTGTGTGTATTTATTAGAAAATGGCGCAAAAGGAATATACTGATGATGAGCTAACAAAAAATGAATTCCTGCCGAATTCGCTTCGAGAGCTGCTAAGAGCAATCCTTCAGCACAAGGACTGGTACTTCTGAAGGTTCTAAGAAGTAAATAAAATAGTAACAAGTTTCACAAAACTGTAAAAGCAGCAATAAAATTATTTCTTGTCAAAAGCACAGTTCCTATAAATCCTGCTAAAGAGATTCAACCTAATTCAAACCAAAGATGCGGTTTTTGCTCCAGATCACGTATGAGAAAAACAAAAGTATTATGTAATACATGCAAAAACCCCATTTTTAATATTCTCGGCAAAGAATGTAAAATGTTTTTATGCTCTGACTGCCAAAATAATGTGTAGAAAACTAAAAGAGTTTAGTTTTAAAATTAAATGTTTTTATATTAAACAAATACAAAATATTTAAATTATTGACGTTTTATTATTAAACTTTACAAATAATTACTAATAATTTACCTGAGTGACAAAATTTTTGAAATAAGTTTTTGAAATATTTCAGTGGGGTATCGTAGTTACCCCACACGGCCTGAAACGTAACTTTTTGTAGCACGGTCCCGGAAAGGTTAATCAATGACCAGATTTTTCGAAACACCCTGTATACATTTTTAAAAAATCTTAAAGTATGTAAAAAAACAAAATAAAATATACGTGTTTAAGCGTTTTTTCGGAAACTTGACCGTTTTTTAAATAAAAAATATTGTAATACTTGAGGGGTGGTTTCACCCTCTTGGAACTGGAATTTCGAAAAATCCCTTCTTATCGAACCTCTACACCCTAGAATCAACCTGTATGCCAAAATTGAGCTTCTTACGTTGAGTGGTTTGAGCAGGATCGTGATTAATCAGTATGTCAGTCCCTTAAGGATTTTATATATCAGTATAGATTTATTGTAGGTGCAAATGAGACTAAAACCACATAAAATAAAACGGTTAATTTTCACAGTAACTACAAACATAAAAGTATGTTCTTTATGAAATTTCACCGATTTTGTAGTACTTTATATGTGTCCATTAGAAATCAGATGTCATCGAATACATGTCCAATAAAAAGGAGTGATATATTTTGATCACTATGTAATATCTCAATGGCTTAAGGCGGGTTCTCACTTGTCAGTTTCGCTGACGCAGTCTGACTGATTCATTATCAATGAAAAATAAAAATCAACGATTGTATTCACACGTTTCATGTTTTGCTACATTCAGTATTCAGTTGGTCCAAACATTTTGGTGGTGATTTCGCAGACATGAAAATGGTTAAAACAAAATTGAAACCAGTGTTCGCGAAGTTTTTAATTCGCGAAGTTTACAATTAGCAAATGAATTACAGAATATTCTGGTGAATCAGAAAAGAAGAAAACGTTTTTTTAAAGCAGATACGTCTACAAGAAACCGTTGACGTTCTATTTTAACAGAACGTCAACGGTTTCTTGTAGACGTATCTGCTTTAAAAAAAGCGTGTTCTCATAATAGTTTGAATTTAAATATTTTAAATAGTTTTTTTTTCTTTATTCTTTGAATTTTTTTGCTTCCGACGATAGATTTTCCGAAACGTTAAGCATTTTTTTCTTTGTTAAGCCAATTTGTATAACTGTAAACATAACTTCTTATAAGCAGTGTCCGTTTAGGTTTAACGCCAGAAGTGTTTACAAAAAATAACTATTTTATTTTGTAGATTTTCTTGCAGTGCAGTGGCGAAATACCCATAAAGGAGTTTTTTGGAGATATACATTAAAATAATTAATTAACTTTAACTTGTAAACTGAACAAATCACGAAAATGTAGTTCTCACGCTTCAGTTTCTATTCATTATTCGATAATGATCAGTCAAAAATGAAAAAAGTAGAACTGGTTTTCACTTTAACTGAAAGTACGAATTTACTGATCATTTAACATGAAAATGTAGGCGGGTTCTCACTTGTCAGTTTCGCTGACGCAGTCTGACTGATTCAGTGATACTGAACAAACAATGAACGTCAGAACACATTTTCATGTTAAATGATCAGTACATTCGTACTTTCAGTTAAAGTGAAAACCAGTTCTACTTTTTTTCATTTTGACTGATCATTATCGAATAATGAATAGAAACTGAAGCGTGAGAACTACATTTTCGTGATTTGTGCAGTTTACAAGTTAAGTTAATTAATTCTTTTAATATAGTTTCACTAGCACCCCGTTTATTTCTTCGCAATATCCAGGACCTGACCACCTACGACGTTTTTTTTTCTTTTCTGATTCACCAGAATATTCTGTAATTAATTTGCTAATTGTAAACAAACTTCGCGAACACCTGGTTTCAATTTTGTTTTAACCATTTTCGTGACTATACGAAATCACCACATTAGAATGTTTGGACCAACTGAATACTGAATGTAGCAAAACATGAAACGTGTGAATACAATCGTTGTTTTTTATTTTTCATTGATAATGAATCAGTCAGACTGCGTCAGCGAAACTGACAAGTGAGAACCCGCCTTTAAGCTAAAGGCTGGAGGATTTTAAGGTACTCTTCAAAAACATAAATAAGAATTTATCATAAAAATATATAAAATTCTGACTTAAGTTTTTTCTAAAAAGACTTAAAAATTTTAAAATATTTAATTCTTTTTCTATTTTTTATTCTTCTAAATTTCTATTTCACAAATCATTATGAAACTGAGTTAAATTTTAAGTCTTAGTCAGCTTTCGAAAAATGACTTAAGTCATTAAAATGATTTAAGTCCAAAAAAGTATTTTAAATAGCCTTACGTGAATTCTTCTTTTTGTTTTTTTGTTACATCGCATTGCAGGCACATTTTGTCTAAAGGCAATTCATTTCGCCTGGCAGTACTTTGCATTATCGCGGTTAGAAGTGATTGAGGATTGAAAAAACCACCCAACCAAACAGATGCAGGTAGCTAAAACATATATTTTAACCCGAAATACTTTATAGGTATAGGTGACCAAGTTAATCTGATTTTTACCACAAAATCTGTAGACCAGGTTTCCAGTTCTCTTATCCTCAAAAGTAAGTCAATAAACCACGCTGTAAGACCCAATAACGAAGGGTAGGCTCGTTCTGACCACGTTGGAGGCACCTGGTCCAAAAAAATAGCATTCTCTAAATCCTCCATGTCAGAAGTGATGGTAAGTTCACCCTTTAACCCTAACTCAAGCTCCTTAAGAGTTTGTTTAATTTTCCCAGTCAGCAAATTCATTCTTTCGCATTCCTGGAAGGCCACGATTACGTAAGGAGTCCTCTCCTCCACTTTGCCCATAATTTCAACCATATTGAAGTCTTCTGGAAGTTTTTCTATCATTTCATCAACCATCTGTTTAACTTTTTCCTCGCGTGTTATAGTAGTGCCTCCCGAAGAACCCGCGTCTCTTGGTTGCATTTCAAAAACTGTTTTAAATAATTTGTCAGCGGTAGTAGTTAGGAAACCTATCTCGGCATTTGGGTGAAGGCCGTACAAATATGGCGATTCTGGAGGTAATATCTCGTCGATATATGAATGATATCCTTGGTAGTCTGTGTTTGGGGGTGCCATAAATCCTGGGGCTAGCATTAATTCACCGTCAACCTAAAATTTCTTCAATAAAAAAGAATATAATTATAAAAATTCGTCATAATTTAACCAGATCAGGCTGAAGTATTTCTTCTAAGTACGTATTGCACAATCTCCTATCCCAATCATCAGTAATGTGACCCCCATACATGATTTCACCAAACAAGTACCTAAGATCTTCCCAAGGAACCTTCGAGTTTGCTTCCAAATAATTGTAGAGTACGAAAACGCTTATTGTTAAATCTCCCACATTAAAAGGGTACATTTTGTTCCATCCCTGGGGTCCAAATTTTCGTCTCTCAGCTACCACGGCGTGGAAATAACACAAAGAAAACAGGATGACTTTAAATTCGGCTTCTTTGCTGCACTGTTCTAGAGTTTCTTGGTTAAAATTTGAAAGGGCTTTGTGAATGTTCGCTTGCATGCCTGTTGGAGGCTCGTTCGTGATTTTTATCGACGATTCTAGGATTCCCTACAAACAGAAGCTTTTTTCGTTTTCCTGTTATTACCCGATTCTGAACCGTCCTAGAACTCTGCAGCGCATGCGCAAATGAAATAATGTCTTCATATTTCCTTCTGCGCATACGCATCACAGTTCTAGGACGGTTCAGAATCGGTAATAACAGGAAAACGAAAAAAGCTAGAGATTGTGCTAATTTTGTTATAATCGAATTCTAATAGTACTTGGGGAATAATGTGGCCAGCCGGAGACGCAGCAGGTTCTGCGCTCATGAACACTCTGTAATCTGTATGGGCACCTTCGGCGTGCTTTTCTAAATGCTTCTCTAACGTAGGCAGCCACTTTTTTACCAAATGTATGTTTTGTAAGACAACCCAGTGGCCATGTTTTGCAGCCGTTTCCATCGCTTTTTCAGCTACTGTTTCCTGGCCCTGACCTAAAGAGACATTGTGGAAGTTCTGTTTTTCCATAGTAAACCCTAGTTTTTCCCCTAATTCTTCCACATCTTTAAGAGGATTAACTCCCGGAGATAGTATGAAAAAAATTGGAGTTGTTGGGCTAGTTTCTTCGTAAGATTTCGAAAATTCCACCGTTTTATTTCCGACATATTTTGTTCCAAGTTTCTCCTCAATAAACGCACTACAGAAAAAAATATATTACAATTTTTTCAATTAGATTAAAGTGTCTGTTTTATACATTATGGCATAAAGCATTCTATCAGGTCTTAAAGCCCGCATCATACAAAGCCTTTGCAAGGCAGTCTTGTTTTTCCATTCCTGAGGAAACTTTTCTCTTTCTGGGCATTCACATTCCACGACTTTTTTCCATCTTTTAGGTGAGTTTTCAATATCTCGATCCAAATTTCTAAACTCGTCTCTTGTGGCTAGACTACAAACTCCTCCCCAACAACTATTAGATAAAAACTCGACAGGACTGGTCACATGGGGCTTTATGGGGAATCTAAGCAGAAAATCTAAGTCGTTCGTCATTATTTCTTGGTTCATTAACAGAATCTATCAGAGAACAGGAAATTTTAGCAGAGAATAATTGAAAAAATATTTTTCGCGTACCTGAAACGTCATCTGAGCCGCAAATATTAACTTATCACTTTCAAATAAACCCCTTGTTGTATACTGAAAAACAGAAAATGAAATACAATCTATTAAATTGTTCACCCTAGCTGAGACAGTGTCTGCAGGATCAGCTTTTGCTATTGCTTTCTGGAAGACTACATTAAAAGCCTAGAAAATAAACGAAGTGAGTTTTTCGAAAACCTGGTGGTATATTTAAAAATAAAAATACCTTTAAGGAAAATTGATAAATCGGATTTATAGTATTGAGCTCGTTTAAAATGAAGTACAATAAACTAGCTCTAGCAGCTGCTGGTCGGTAATACTCTCTTGCCTGGTCAATCTCAACTGAAGTAATCTTAGCCTCAGCCACCTTTTGTTCTATATCAGCAGCTGTTCGTTTGGTAGTTTCAAGATTTTCAACTAAAGTCGTATCACCCAGCAAATTGCCACCAGCAGAAGATAAACGAGACAAGAGATCATCTTCGAGGGTTTTTAACATGATTTTAAAATCGTTTTGCTGTTTGGTCAGATCGGCTTTCAGTTCTTCCAGGTCTGGCCGTTCAGCTTTCACCACTTCAGCTAAAAGTTGATCTTCCAAGCCATCTCTAGTGACTGTGAAGTTAATCAAAGTAGCCTGCGCTTGCATTTCTGGCTTATAATGTGGATTAGCTAGTTTGGTATGAAGAATGAGTCGGAAAGTCGAATTGTATTCGATTTCTTTGTCACCAATTTTGATTGCCCTTAAAATATGGTTGTTTTAGGTTTTATTAAATCTATTTCGTTCACATACTTTCCCTTTTTAATGAGGTTACGACCTAGAAGAGTGTCTAATACCGGATCAACTGTCTCTTCTATATTTTCAACTAAAACTGTAGCCCCTTGGCTTATAGACCTCTCAATTACATCCAGATATCCTTTCTGGCCCAAGCGAATTACTCTGAGATCATCAAACCTCTGCTTGATCCACTTAATACCTTGTAACTTAAAACAATATTACTATTAAGTGCTATAAAATCAAATCGATTGACTATAATAACAATAGAGCTTTTCAACTAAACTATATTTATATAAAAAAAAAAATTAAATTATTTTACTTGCGGATCAATCATTAATGGCCACCTATCAGAATTAATTAAAATTGTTGCATTCTCTATTGACATTCTGTCACTTGGTAGTCCCTCATTTTGCCATTTAGCAATTTTAGTGTCATCAGTTAATAAGGAGAGAGGTTCTAACTCTTCTGTCAAAGGTACTTTGGGCTGAAAAAATTGTATAGAAATAAAAAAGAATTATATTTTGTTTGTGATACCTCTAATGATTTGATGAAAGGAAGCCACATTTTTTGCAATAAATCGTATCGATATTGCTTAGTAAAACAGCCAACATAAGAAATAAATGCTGTCGTTAGTAATACATCGCCAGGCATCATTTTACCACTCTCCATGAATCTACGATAAACAAAATAATTAATAATCAGAATTATGTTAGAGATGAACTTCAAGCAGCGTACTTATTGACCGTTTCAGCCCATCTAACATTTTCACTAGCTAATCCCCCCACTAATCTATTTGCTAGAGCAATAGTAGCATTGGTAGCATCAGCTTCTTTTTGGCACAGTAATTTCTCCTGAGTGGCTTTCTCAAAATCAGCAGTCAGTTTTGCTAATTGTGATTCAAGAGACTAAAAAATTATTATGTAGTACAAAAAATAAGTAATGATTATTTTAACGTACAGCAACTTTCTTTTTAATTGAATTCAGCTTCTCCTGGGCAGCTGCTAGTTCAGCATTAGCAGCTGCGAGAGCTTTTCTTTTGGGTTCAACATCGCAATAAACTTCGTAAAACTTTATTATGTTAATAACCCAAGCACACAAGCCGGCAGCAGCAGCAGATTTCGATCTGACAAATTCTGGTTCAAATTCCGAGTCTTTAAGATATGGTTCAATAGCTTTAATAATCTCAGGATGAATATTTTCTTTATCATAGTTGATTAAGGCATCCAAAAAAGCATCTACTTTTGCCATGGTAATCTTCGCTGCTTTCCAACTTCTATCTTTAGGAATCTTAGCCGCTGGAGCTAGAAGAACCATCACAGCTGCAGTAACATTGGTTACAGCACCTGGAGGTGAACCAAATGACTTGAGTTCTGTTAGATTTGCTTTGTTAAGTGTATTTAAAGCTTCCTGAGCTGCTATCAATGCCGGTTCAGCTTTCAAGAGATCTTCCTCGCAGTCTTTTTGCTTTTTACTGACTTCTTCGGCTATCATGGCCACTTTTTCTTCTTCCTCATCTGCTAACTTCTTTTCAATTGACACTTTTTCAGTTTCTATGCCGACTATTTCAATTAAAGCGTCCGCTGCTTCGTTCTTTTCTTTTAACTCAATCTCTTGAACAGCAAGTTTCTTCTTAAGCTCGTCGACTTGTATGGCAGTGCTTTTTAATTTATCCAAGCCATTTTCTAGTCTTTCTACTTTCAACGAAAGCTCTTTGGATTTCTGTCTTAGTAGTTTCGAATATAAATTTATTTGCTCTAAATAAGACTTGGGAGTGGTGTAATTATACCTTCTCTCATTCTGTAGATAAATTTTCGATATAGAATTTACAGAGGTGTGTGCATAAGCCATGAATCGAGAGGCTGTTTCTCTTAAATCATCAGGAAGCACTTCTAGTTCCTGCAGAAACCTTAATGATACCGAAATCAAAGCTTCTTGAGGCCATTCGTGGAACCAGTTGATTTGGGTGCAATTTATTATAGCTGGAAATTTTCTTGAGCGCACACGTAGCGTTGAACCAACTGGAGAGAAGCACAAAACTAATTTAAGCTGTTTCCTGACACGGTCAATGAAAAACTTCCAACAATTCTCGCGAGTGTCAAGCATCCCAGCTCCTTTAACTTCATTCCGAACTCCAGCAATTATATTTTCAACTTCATCCTCTGGAAACATATCTGGAACTTCACCTGAAGCTAGCATATCGTTAATAAGAACAAGAAATTGTTCGTTTGGGACTTGGGCATCAGTCATTAAAAACATAATTCCGACATTCTTGAGACCGGACTTTAAATACAAAGAAGCTAGTTCGTGTTTTAGGTCTGTAACACCATATCCTTTCTTTAACTGGACTTGTGATACTTCTAATGACGAAATAAAGGCTGCCAGTCGTGATAAAGACTGCTTGCCACTGCCGCCTACACCAACTAGCAACGAGCTACCTCTGGGAGATTCTAGTATACGATTTATACGACACACGTGCATCATTGCGTCTTCAAAAAGCACCAAGTTCATGGCGGCTACTAAGTCGTTATAACTTGACATGGCTTCATTTAAAAGCTTGTTTAATGTACTCCATTTCATTACAGGCATGTATTTTGGTTCTCCAATGCCCCCAGCAAAGTGGCAATAAATAATAGGTTTTTCGAACACCAAAGACTCATCGATCTCTTCGAAATTTTTCTTGAAAACGTCTAACTGTAATTTGAAGAAAGCATCAATGTCTTTTTCTTCAATTAGTTTGTCACCATAAACCCTCTGACATTCGTGTAACCAAAGCCTTACTAAATCTACGTTCTGGTTTAAACAATCGGTAGTACTGAATAAAAGACCCTACAAAAATATCTGATTTAAAATAAATCTTGGAAAAACTGGAAATAATTCACCTGAAATACATTTGAAATGTCCCGCAAGTTGAAAATATAATGAAACTTCAATGCTGTGGGCAGGAACATTTGTGAAGCCTTGTGATGTAAAGCTACGGTGGCTGCAACAATGTTTTCGGCTAGATTTAGTACGACAGAAGGAAATTTATATTCTGAATTCGTGAGATGCTGACTTAAAATAGCTTGGTAAATATATGTGAGGGCTTCTGTTCCAGGAAAGCTTACAGCAAACACGTAGAAGTGTCTCTGGAGTCTGGGGTTGACTGTAAAACTGCCCGCAGTAGGATTCATACAAGAAACGTACTGGCAATTCCGAATATCTTTCAAAGTCAATCGGCTTCTATCATACCAATGGTTGTAATCCAAATGCTGTCGAATTAAGGTATGTGGTTGAACGGTTCCATAGTTATCAACCTCAGGCATGTTCATGTCATCGATAAAATATATCAAAGTCTTGTTACCAGGAGGACCATAATTCCGTCCAGCCTTTTTTTCTAAAGGCTTTTCTAAAATTTTCTGCAACATTTCAGAGGTTGTGTAAAAATTAAATGGAATATTCGTGACAGCATAATTTTCGGAAAGGGTGGTTAGCTTTTCAGTTACCAGAACTGTTTTACCACAACCTGCATTACCTACTAACATTACCGGGTGTCGTTTTTCCATAAGAATGTCCAAGAAATATCGCAGGCGGATAGATTCAGCTGTATGTACGAGGACAGCCTAAAAAGATATAAAGATAACCCGGCCTAGATACTACATAAACATACTTGCAACGGCGTATCTGAATCTAGTTCAAATCTAGTTAGTTTTTCAGACCACGGAGCAAATTGTTTAGTTTCATCATCGATATAGTAATCAAAAACAGTTCCTGTCGAAGGAAATTTCACAGTTTTAAACTCATTTACCCACCATTTAGTGAATTCAACTCTATAATCTGTGGCCTGAAAGAATTAAAATATTACATGACAACGGCACAAATTCCCTATAACAGATGCGAAAGAAAGCGACTGCATCGAAAACCGCTCGGCAAACCCGACACGCCTATTGAGTGGTGTAAATACACCAGTCGTTTAGTCCGGAAACCTATGCTGTGTCGTATTCGCTTGCTGGAATGACATAGTGCGTGGTTATATGTTTCTTTTTAAAAACGCGTGTAGGATTTTTGTTGAACTTTTGAACTGTTATTTCTAAGTTTTGGTAATTTGTATATCTTATTAAAATGGGATGCAAATGTGTTTATTTATAAGGAAAAAAAGATATTTATAGTATAAAAAATTAATTTATTTAACAAAATTTAATTAAAAATGTGACAAAATAGTTACCTTTCTATTGGTTCTATCGGACTTTTTTCGACTATATAAATCTTTATTTGTAAACTTTAATACATCAAATATTTTCAATCTAATAAATCATTTATGTATGTGATGTAAATAAGAGGAAATTTCTCACATGGGTGGTCAAATTTTATAGTTTTTTTAACTCGAAATTATTTACCCATTTAAAAGCCTTTGATCATGAAAGTGGAAAAATTTGTTCATTTTATTTACAGGCTGGAAAAATTATTTATATTAAATTTTGATGAGTTTTGCACTGAAGAAAGCATTCAGAGGCTGTTTGATATAATGAAAACTATAGAATTTGACCACCCATGTGAGAAATTTCCTCTTATTTACATCATTAAATTATTTATTAGATTGAAAATATTTTATGCATTAAAGTTTACAAAAAATAAAGATCTATATAGTCGAAAAAAGTCCGATAGAACCAATAGAAATGTAATTATTTTGTCACATCTTTAATTAAATCTTTAATTAAATTTTGTTAAATAAATTAATTTTTTATACTATAAATATCTTTTTTTTCCTAATCTCCTACGAGCTGATATAATATGACGAGCAATCTATTAAATTACTGTGAGATTATACAGAAAAGTCCACAGACTTCGAGACATAGGAAAATCAAGTCCATTTAGCGTGTGTCCAAATTTTGACAAGTTTTCAAAAATGACAGTTTTGTTTACACTGGCGTTTAATTTCACCTGACTTTTCGGTGATGATTTATGGGGGTACATAAAATCTAAAATTTACGGCCATGAAGAAATTCAAAACTTGGAGCAGTTAAGGCAGAAAATATTTAATGCCTTTGACACTGTCACACCTGATATGTTATCCATTGTGTTGAGGGGATTTTATGATCGTTTGGTTTAATGCAAGAGGGAGGCACTTTTGAACAATTTTTGTAATTTTTTAAATTTCATTATCCTGTTTTTTTACCGTTTACCCATTACCTACCTTGACGAACATGGGAAAACGAAGGTCCTTTTCAGGACCACAAATATTTTGATTGAGAAAATTGGTAACATTTTTTTGGATTAAAAACAAAAGTTGTTAATATAATACCAATTTAAAAGTGTTTTAGTAGTTTTAATACACACTATGATATAAAATTTATTATTATTATTATAATGTACATTATTAATATATTGTTCATTCGAAATGGCATTAAGGCCCAATTGCAACAATGATTTAAATTTTTCTTAAAGATAAGTAGAGCTTAGAATGAGCTGTATTTATATTTACTTTAATATTCACCTTAAATGAGGGAATTTGACTGATACAATTTTTGAATTTGAATTGTTTTTAATGATACTAACAATTTTAGTTCAATTTTTAATAAAATTTAATTAATATTAATAGAAATCCAAGAGATTTGAAACCTCTTTTAGCGATTTATAACATTCTCAAATGAATTACAGGTGCCCTTATTTTCTATGAAAATCACACAGCTTTTTTCATAGTCGCTGCAGTTGCTATAGCTATAAAAAACTAATTTTTTAAGGTTTGAAAATTGCGACACACGCTAAATGGACTTGATTTTTCGTATGTCTCGAAGTCTGTGGACCTTTTTGTATGCCTCGATAACATATTGGTGCAGATTATTTTCTCCCAAACAAATAATAACTCAAACTATACATTGATGCGGATTGTCTATGAACTCTTTCTGAAGGTCACAGAAACCTGAACGCGTAATTCGGTGTTCTTTCGCATCTGTTATAGGTAATTTGTGACAACGGAGTATGTCTAGTAGTTACTTGTTCGTGAAACATAGCAGACCCAAATGCCCAAATACAGCAAAAGGCGAAGTATAACTCGTACCAGTCTTTCGGGCATTCACTGGGAGTGTTTTGTGGTGTTAGAACACACTCCAAAAGATGACATAGCATTTCTATATGAGATGTTTCAGCAATGGGAGTGATTTTCTTAAACCTAGTTCGGACGTTATCCAGACATATGGGTATATATTTGTCAAAGAGCATTATAAGATTGGATTTTTCAGCTGGATTGTCACGAGTTTCGATCCAGCTAGTGACATAGCTAAAAGAATAAATCGGTAGAACGGTTTTTAACGCGTATATAAAAATAGGGAAATCTTACGGGTTCCAGCCGAGATCCTGTGCATTGATGTATAAAATACCCGCCCTCGAGACCGTGGCAGGTGTTGCAGTTCTTAAATTCGATATTTCGAATATAAGTCGCATGGTGGGAGTGAGAGCAATGCGCTCGTTGCTGGCGAGGGTGAGAACTTTGTTGTCGTCCATCACCGTATTTAACGACTCAATCCACATGGGATCAATATCGCCGTCTAAAATGATCCATTTCGGATTATCTCCGGAAATGTTCGCCTGGTCCCTCATTAATACGGAGAGCAAGCCGTCCTTCCACTCCCTAGTAGCAGGATTAATGATTCCGAAAAGTTCGTCGTTAGTGACAGCTTTGGGATTTAAGTCGTTAAAGATTGGTTTGCGCTTGATATTAACGTAGGTTCGAAAGAGAGTTTTCCACACTTGAGTTTTACCGGTGCCGGCGTTACCAACGATGAACACGGAGTGCCGAACTTCCAGAAGTTCTTCCAGTTGAACTACCTGAAATTAATTCTTTTCTTTAAAACACTACAGAACAACGACTTGAAGATTACTAAAAAAGTGTAAGTAAACAAAACTTAAAACAGCTATACCGGGCAGTAGCGGATACAGGGGGAGGGCCCATGGGGCCCGGCCCCCCCCCCTAAAGTCTGTGAATCGTGTAAAATGTTAGACTTTTGGGTTAAAAATGGCGCCCTAAAAAGCATATTCTACATTGCTTTTCATTTTGGGCCCCCCCTAAAAGAAATTCCTGTATCCGCCCCTGATACCGGGTGCGTCTCAAAAGTGGTTCACCTCTATAACTTTTTTATTTTTTCAGATAAAAAAAACGAGATTTGGTATGTTAGTATATGACAAAAATTAGGCTTGATTGACGTTTTCAATTGTTTTTGGTCACTTCCTGTTTCACTGGAAATGACTACAACTTTTGATTTTTAAATGGCACCGTCGGTATTTTTTTACTTTATTGGATAGAAAATGACACTCTGAATAAAATGACAACGATAATTTGACTCGAAATACCAAGTGTGTGGTACCAAATTATTCGTAAAAAATGCTTTTTCCAAATTGTTCCATTTCAAAAAATTAAGATACGATTAAAAATACGATTTGGGCATCTTTTAACCGACCAGGACAAGATACGAAAAACATTAGACGATGAAATCTATTTTTCCAAGGCTCCTTGATTAAAAAATAATGTTTTTAATACAGCGACAGCACTCTAGCTTGAAATTTAAAATACGATTTTTTTAAGCGAAAATGTTTAAAGTTGATATACGATAAGTCATTCTATTCAGAATGTCATTTTCTATCGAATTTTTAATATTTACTTAAAATCAAAAGTTGTAGTCATTTCCGGTGAAACAGGAAGCGACCAAAAACAATTGAATGCGTCAATCAATCCTAATTTACGTCACATGCTAACATACCAAATATCGTTTTTTCATCTGAAAAAATAAAAAAGTTATAGGGGGTGAGACCCACCCGGTATACCTTTAAAATAAAATTATCTTCCGGCTGAAGTTTCAAGTCCATGGCCGCTTGCTTTACAGTTCTTTCAAACTCAGCATCTCTTTTCCTAGGCACTTCCAGTGCTGGAAATAAATCACCTATCAAGCCCATAAAGACCGGCGTATCGTCGGTTACTATTTTCGGTATATTAAAGTCTCTTAGAGCTCTCATTAACACTTCTTCTTCAGGTCTGCCTGGATCACCCCTCTATAAATTTTTTTTTTTTCAATAACACCAAGACAAATATTTTTTTAAGTTACTTTTAACGACCCTGCTACTACTAATACAGATTTTATAGCTCTAAGTCCCCAATCGTAGTGATCTTGTTTGGATAATAGCTCTTTACATAACGTGTATAAGGTTATAAATTTTCTAGCTAAGATTTTGGCTTCTTGAAAGCCTTCTGCTACCAACATAATTTCACAAATTAACTCAAAATCAGGCACAACCATTGCGCAAGGTCTAAAAGAATTGAAAACAATAAATTCAAACTTCTCAGGAATCTCTTACCTAAATAGAGCTTTTAAGTTTTCTGGCAGCTCCGTTCTACCAGCATATCCGGGATTCATAGTGATAAAAATGCCTACTGTTGGAACTAAGTTTATCATATCTCCCATAAAATCGAATGTGACTTTTCTATTTTTGATGGCGTCCAACACTGACTTCACTTGGACAGCTACTACTGACAAAACTTCTACGGATATTCTGTTGAACTCATCGAAACAGCCCCAAGCACCGGTTTGGGCCAATCCTTTATATATGTTTCCGCATGATTTGTAGTCCATTTGTTCGGAACAATTGAATACGTACACCATGATACCAAGAGCTCTTCCTAGGTCCTTTGTTGTTTCGGTTTTGCCTGTCCCAGCTGGTCCAGCAGGACCACCACCCATGATTAGATGCAACGACTGTGTCAGTGTGATATAGCACCGATCTGTTAATGGGGTGATAACCAGTCGTGGGGTATTCCCCAAATATTCGTAGCTGTACTTAAATTGAGCGTCACAAATGTTGGCAAAACAATGTTTTTCTTTTTCACACCATCTGTGTCTTAACTGAGACACCCACTGGAAAGCCAAAGCTGATTCTACCTTGCTCTGTATTAATTTACTAACTACGTCCCTGGAATGGACATCAATGGTGCAAATAGTCATAATTTTTTGCCTGTCTTGTTTAGTTAAATCCCCTAATAACAAAGAGATCAAGGTACTAAGTTGAGACACTTGTTTCTTGTAGTAATCTCTGATAGCATTGTCGTAACCTTCTTCCAGACGAGAAAACGCTATATTGACTTCGGTGGTCCACCAAATCTGGGTTCCACACAATGAAACCTGCGCTGGGAAATCAAACAGCCACTGATCTCTAGGTTTTTCTTCGTAAGAAAGCACACCTTCTCCAATATAATGCCTTATAGTGGACCTCATGGAATTTTGGATTCGATTTAACCATACCTCAACCTAAAATAAGTAAAAAGGAAATGGTTGCTTGAATAAATTTTTAAAATAAACGTACAGCACCAATACAGTTCGTTTTTTCGAAAAAGTTTACGTATTCTCCATCTTTGGCATACATCCCTTCAATAATGTTTGTTAAAGATTTATCTTCTTTAGTTTCAAAATTTAATCGGGCAATCGAATCAAATAACTTTGTCAAATGTTTTGCAACCTGTTGTGGTTGATTACCATTTGACAATATATCCAACAGATCCGCCGAAGAAACGAAATAGAATCTAGGAAACGCAAGTCTCTTGGTCTCTAGGTAAACCGCCAAAGCTTTTTCACATAAAGTCAGATTTTTCTGAAGTTCTTCCAAGACTTCTAGAAGTCCGGGTCTATTAGTTGACTCAACAACGTTCGAGACTTTAGCCATATCTTTCATTAACTCTTTAATATCCCTGTCAATAATGTCGAACCTAGCAGAATCTTCGGGAAGTTGCTTCCTAATATCTTCAGAGCTCATAAAAATCGATTCTAGATGCATCCAGGTTCTTTGAACCTCAAACCAAACGGTAATCACTTGATCTGCTAGTCCTAGTTTGCACTGCCAAGAGGACACTTCTTCCAGAAAATGGGCGATAAATTTTGAAGTTATTAAGTTCTGCAGTTGAACTTGATTGTCTTCTAAAGTCTCTATAAGCTCCTCGCTAGCTCTCAACAACGTGCAACCTGTTCTTGGATGTATTTCATGTTCAAACTCCATGGTAGACCATGTAGCGTTCAGCTCACGAAGTATCTTCTCCATTGACATTTCTTTTACGGCCTTATCAACGATATTTTTTACTTCTTCCTCACACTCATGGAGATTTAGTTCTAACAAATCGGCCAAAGTCGTGTTGTGGTCCATAACAATTTTCGCCTAAAAGTAGACCACTTATTAATTTGTATTTCAAAGCACAGTCCAGAAATTCTACTAGTTGCAGTGTAAAACTAAATTTTAATTATTTTGGTTTAAAGCTAACAATCTAATCTATTACCAAACTAACTACCAGAACTATGTACAACTAGATATCCTGAAAAATCATTTTAATGTAGATACAAGAAAATAGCTATTTCACGTATGACTATATAATCAAATTTCACGATGTTATAACTTACTTTAAATTCTTGGGGAATTGCTGCTAGGGTCTGGAACAAATATTGGTTAGTCTAGTGTCACTATATACAGTGATTTTTTTTATGTACAATATATACAGTGGCTATTTACAATAAGTATATTTATATAAGTAACTTTGCCAGGACTAAATAAATCTACCTTTGTAGATAACATTAGTTGATCCCAATGTCTTTCTCGAATGGCTGGATTCTGAAGCTCCCCTACTGCTTTGAGTGATGTCAAAGTGTTCTTAACCGTGGCTTCTAGCCCAGTGTACGTGTCCCATCCCCTCATTTCCTTGTCGAGCATCCTAATTTCTTTTGCGAACTTTTTACATTCTATATCCATGTTTTCTACGTCTATTTTTCGCCAAGGCGTCGTTTTCCAGTCATTGACACATGTGTGAACTATGTGCACATAGTCCCATAATTGCTAAAAAAATGCATCACCTTCTATGTCATCGAATATACAAACGTAAATTTGATTTACCTTTAGTAATCTGATATCTCTCCTACATTGCTTCAATAATTTAAAATCGGGGACATTTACTTCAAAGAGAGAACCCGATTCGTGAATTGACCTCATTTCGTTTTCTAGTTTTCGAAGATCTTTGTCGATCCTGTCAATTGTATTGTATGGTTCAGGACATGAATACTTAAAAAACGTATATTTCTTGAAAACTTCGCGGTATATGATGACTTTACTGTCAAACTCAAGAATTTTCTTTCTTATGCAAGTAACTTCAGCTGCTTGGAGTGGAGCTAGTTGCTGTTTGATGGTAATTGCAATTTTTTTGGTATTGTTCCATTGTTCAGGTAACTCCTGTAAGTACACATTAACTTCTTCAGGAATATCTTGGTCATAGAACTTTAAAAGTTCAATGGTTTCTCGTAACGGTACAAACATTTCATCCGTAGTTGCTTGGCGTTCTTTAACATGAAGCAGATATCCCATAACATTAACAAGAGCTTGATAATCACCTTCTTGCACAGTCTGCTGAAGGCCTTCATCAGCTGACCTTATAAACTGTCCCAAATCACAAAGGCTGCTTGTAACAGTATTTACAAGATGCTGTTTAAACATGTCACCCCATTTACGTATAGTATTCAAAAGAGCTTGTTTAAAAGGCTTGATATCAACCTGAAACCAAGCATTAAATATTTCTTTTTCTTGGATTTGTTCCACTTCGGCATAAAGATTTTCAAAAGTATCAATTTGCTCACGAAATGTCTCCATTTTTGGAGGGCTAGGTTTTGGCGCATAGGGATCTCTTAAGGCGATTAAATCAATTTCTTCTCCAGTTAGTTGCCGTCCATAAGTTAATATTTGTTTTAAGTAATCATCTCTGTCATCCAACCAAAGATAAGAATAATTTTGAAATCCGTTACAAAATTCGTATGCTTCTTCTAAGACCTTATCAACGTTTTGTAAAATATCAGTTTTAATATCGACAATATCTTGGTTCTTATCGATTTCCTCCATGTAGGATTTCTCATTAGTTTTGGATAAACGAGATACAATAAATGCAGTGCCTAAAATATCCTGTATCAATCCATTTATCAGGGAACTAAACCCATCCAGAGCATTGTGGTCTAAAGAAGGTTCAAACATTATTTCTGGTTCCTTCAAAAACATTTGCGATTCGAATAACGGTGCTAAATTATTGGAAGCATCCATGTGTTCGTTTATGTAGCCCAAACTAAAAGACTACTATAAAAATATATATTTACTACCAAAAATACTGTACCTGTATCCTATAGATTGATACAAATAACTTAAGACAATTTTATCAACGAAATCAATATAGTTTATCCACTCAGGACATTCTGTTTTATCAGTCATACCAAAGAGTTTCAAATTACTCTCTAAAAGTGTGTGTATGGTTTCTGTTGCTTCAGTTATTTCTGAATGTCTTCTCGCAATTCGTTCATCTCTATCTTCAATGCATAAAAACGTATCTTTTTTGCCGTCTTTTCTTTCAAACAAAGGCTTCCTTGCAAAGGGTATTAGAATTGATTTTATGCTATTTAAGTTAACTTGACACTTTCCCAAATTATCCTGGAGATTCTTTACTAGGCTGTGAAGATTCATGATGTAATCCCACAAATCTAGAAATAATAATATCGTATTGCAATAGCTAAAAGTATATTATCTGAAAAAAAATAGATAATACCATTTGAGTTCCAGTTAAGGCCAGTCTGACCCAAACAAATTTTCCCATCAATTTCGCCAATTTCATTTTTAATCAAGTCAAACTCGACGTTTTTCGTGGTTCTTCTAATTTTGTTGTACCAAGCTATAGTGGAGTTTAAGTTTGAAATATATTTACGGAATATTTCGTTCCTTTCCGCTAACTTGAGAGCTTTTTCAGGTATGTCAGTTATGTTCATGAGCTTCAAATAGTGGACTTCCCTTAGGATACCTGATAGCTGCGGTTTGAAGTTGAGATATAGCTCTTTATTTTTTTGATTTCGGATTAGCAGACATAACTCTAAGTTATCTTCGATTTGGTTTTCGATTGAGTTGGCCCAATCTACCAGTGCTTTTTGAGAAACCTTTCGGATATTTTCGGTAATTTTATCAAATGTTTCAATCACCTCCACTGTTTTCGCTTCCTTAATCATACTAGAAATAAATTATTAAACACGGGGTATAAAAAAACAGAGTGAAATATACGGATGATGTATACTCTGGAGTTTTGTTTTAACTGAAGAGATTCTTTCTTCCAAATTACGTGTCCATCTTAATGTCCCCGTCAGAGGAGGGACGTACTTATCAAGGATAAATTCGCCAAATTTATTTTTGTAATTAATTTGTTCTTCAAAAGCGTTCTAGAATATATTAAAATTAAAAATATATATATTTCACGAAATTTGAAATACCTCGACCATTCTAGCTTCCTCCTTGAGCATATCAGTTATTTGTATGTATTTCTTTGTAAATTCCAGCTTAACTATAGGTCTTTCTAGCAAACAACCTGAGATATTGATCAATTTGAAAACACTGTCTAAATTAGAGCAATCCTCGAAGGCTTGACAAAGGATCGCAGCAAGTTTCATATCCATCTCGAAAATTCGTTGTTTAAAGATTTGAAAGTCGTCGAGGAAAGATGGATCGTCTGGATCCAAAACGTCGTAAGATTTTCCAGAAAAAATGGAGTAGCACTGCTGAAACTCGCCAAAAATTACTGTCACCCTCGAACTAAGAATTTTCCCTTTGATTCCGCCTATTTCAACTTTTTCTAGCTTACTAAATTCTAGAACTGTATTAAAAAACCACTGGATGGTTTGCAGTCTTTCAGAAAACGCCAAAAATCTTTGGAAAACCAAGTTCGTATCGAAGTTCCATAAATTCGGAGCCCGATTTTTGAAGAATCTCGGTAAATTTAGTTTATAAATTTTAAACAAGCTCATGAATTGTTTTAACGTTTTTATGCAGAGCTCTACTCTCTGCATAGCCTCGTCTATATCACTATGAAATAACGTAGTGGGATCCAAGAATTTTTTAGCCTAAAATATTCCAGCATTTATACAAAGGAATTTGTAAAGTCAAACAGAATAATACCTCGAGAATCAATAAATTACAGATTTGTTTTAATAAAGTTATGAATTTGACTTGATCATATGATTCACATGTAGCCCAAATAATGCAAACCACGTGCATCACCGGAGCCAACAGAGGTATGCATTCGCTAAAATCCACCTCTTCCAAAGCAGTTATGTGCTTCTTAAGTGGTGTTAGATGCAAATAGACATCTTTGGCTTCGGCTAGAGCGATTACTACATTTTTGAAAAGATTTTTAAAGCAAACATAGTAAGCACTGTGAGTTTTTTCCAAAATTGACGCCATACTTCGTACTTTTGGTTCCCTGAGTTGCTTGTAAATGTATTGTAAGTTTCTTAAACGCTGACTCCAAAATTCAATTTCTGGTGAGAAAAAAATAGTGAATCTTCTAAAAAGTCTGGCTTAAAATTAAATAAATGATTTACCGACAGAAGGTACAGGATTTAATACTCGTTCTGAAGAATCGTTTATTAAAACATCATTAATCTGAGCAGCCCATTTCATGACAACTCCTTCAATCCCACTTTTTAAATACAAATCGCAAACTTGACCATTACTTTCCGCAGCTGCTTTTTCAACTTCTGCAACTCTTTCCACTCCAACAGGCATCGGTAAGACAGTCTGTCCGTTTACTTGACCCTTTACTTGGTATACCGTACTTCTTAAACTGTGTACGTGCTTGTGGACGTCCTTGGCTATTACCACAGGCCACTGTCCATGGTTTTGTGAGTTTGACAGTAATGGAACTAAGATCTGTAGAGAAGATATTTCTGGAATGTTTGGGTACTTTTGTGATAAAAAAAATAAAAACTCACTTCATCTACAAGAGATGCCAGCTGGTCGATAATTTTTGGAGATAAATCTCCAACAATGACAGAGAGACCTGGGGTAGATTTGCATACAGGGTGGGGCTCCTTTTTGATGAAGTAGACACCTAAAATTCCAAATCTCTCCAATACATTTTTTTTCACAGCACACCCTTACCTTTGCTTTTTAACTGGGTCAAAGGAAACCCATTTGATGGAACAAGCTGAGCTGCTGGAGTCACAATAATCACCAACAAATTCGGCGAACATCTTTCTAGAAATTTCATCACCATCGCCTTGTATTCTTCCGTAGTCATAACCCTCGTCCATTTTTCCGTTTTGAGTTTTAAAGATTTCTGGACGTAAGTGCCCAAGAAGTCCATGCGGTGATCAACAATTGTTGCGGGAGGCTGGTCCATTTTGCAACGCGATGTTTAAAGGAACTTAATTTATTCAGAAAGTGTTTTCGCCGTATAGGAATTTAGTCACGCACCGCCTAAACTAGTTTTCGAGAAAAGTGAGCTGAATATGGCGTTGATTAACGAAGTACGCTAACAAGGGCATACATAGGATAATATTACGCGATTTTTTTACTGATGTAAAAGGAAAGGACGCAAAAAAGTGACTTCGTGTCTGTGTGACGGAATCACGATGGGGTTTGCGTGGATTCTCCTGGAATGTCGAGCTTAAGGAAATCCCGTACCAAGACACGCTGATGGTCGCAATAAATGCCATAATATCATAAATAATATTAAAAGCAGACAACGCGACAGAACTTTTGCCAATTTAACTTTCATCTAATAACGGCAAAATGAGCTTGTTAATTGCGTATCAGTCACAGAATTTAATGCATAATAATGTCGCTGGTGTTCTATCCATTTTCTTCACCTATACTAAATAAAATTCCTATATAATTTGCTATTTATGTTATGCAAAATCTAATGAGCGTACTAGGTATTTATTTTACATAATTCTTAAAATGTTTAATACAGTTATTTGAAAATATAATTTTCAAAACGGAAATTCTAATGGCTTAGAAAAAACGCAACCTTTTGCCGTACGAGAGTATCATTAAATCACTAAATGATTATTGCGTTACAAGAAACATACCGGCTATTTAAAACTGAAAGTTAGCGGATAAAATATGCACATAAAAATAAGTTTATGACAGTAAGTACCTCACTCACTTACAAAGTTTAAGTTTTAGTAAAACTACCCAAAAATTAGAACTTACGACCGAAAAAAATCAAAGATTTTCCCTGATTTAAGTAAGAAAAGGGCTGCTATCGGAGATGGAGAACTAACCTCTGTAAAACCGCCTCAAATACTGGGTTTAGTCAAAACACTGAGACTGAATAATGAGTTATAATAATAATAAAAATAAAAAAAAAATAATAAAATGTCTTTATTTCCAAGTCAGTAAATAGAACAATTTAATTATGTATGACAGAAGATAAGTAATAATAATAATGAAATCTATATGTACAGCCAAGGATAATCAAACTTATTAGTTATACAACAACAAATAACAGACCCGGAAAGGAGCGAAATAACTGAAGAGGAGCGTTATAACTGAAGAATGGGGGGCACAATAGATCTGTAAAGTTTATCATACATTCTACATTCTAATCATAATAAAACTTAAATTCTGATCTCTAAAATACTTTAAATTGCTGAAGATATCTAATAGCGTTAATTAATACTGGAAATTTATTACAAACATTAGTTATCTAGTTAGAATGAGGTGCATTAACCAGACCGTAGTTATTTCACACAATAACTGTTCTATCGCTATCCATTTTGTCGTATATTAATAGTAGGCAAGTACAAATATCAATTTCATCTCTGAAAATGATCGAAAGGATATACAGTTAATCGTTTTATTGATTTTATATCATCTTATATTAAAATACGATATTTAAATTCCACAGGATGTTAATATTCTATTCTCTATATAACTGTAAGTTTAATACACGTAAAATAAAGAAATTCAGGTAGTTAGTGTGAAATGTAAGCAAGTACTTCGACTAGCAGGTGACCGTGAACTTGATGAACACCCGGTGCATGTCTATAGGCACCCTTCATGTACCCTCTTTTGCTGTTTCCGGGTTTCTAAGTCCAGCTGGTCGTTCAGAAAGTTAATAAATAAAATATAACACCGAACAGACCATGTAGAGTATGTAAAAAAAACAAGAAAAAATACATCAGATTTTGTGAAAATTTCTAATTCCGTAGATTTGACTGATACTGTATACGGGGTAATTGTAGAAATCATAAAAATTGTCAGAATTCCCTTTAGGCTTTGTCAAAAATACATCCGAAAAATACAAAGAATACGTCAGATATACCGGGTACGTCTCAAAAGTGGCTTGACCCCTATAACATTTTTTATTTTTTCAGATAAAAAAACGGGATTTGGTTCAATTATTTTTGGTCACTTCCTGTTTTACCGGAAACGACTACAACTTTTGATTTTTAAATGGCACCCTCGGTATTTTTTTACTTTATTTGATAGAAAATGACATTCTAAATAGAATGACATATCATATGTCAACTTTTGACATTTTCGCATATGGTTAATTTGAAATTATAACATGCGGTTCATAACGAAAATTTGACTATGTGGTATCAAATTACTCATAAAAAAATGCTTTTTCCAAATATGCTAATGAGCCACCCTCGTTCCATTTGAAAAAATTGAGATATGATTAAAAATACGATTTGGGCATCTTTTAACCGGCAAGACACTAAACATATTAGACGATCAAATTTATTTTTCCAAAGTTCCTTGATTAAAAATTAGTATTTTTAACATAGCCATGGCACTCTAGATTGAAATTTAAAATACGATTTTTTATTAAGCGAGAATGGCAAAAGTTGACATATGATATGTCGTTCTATTCAGAAAGTCATTTTCTATCGAATAAAGTAAAAATATGCCGAGGCTGCCATTTAAAAATCAAAAGTTGTAGTCATTTCCGGTGAATCAGGAAGTGACCAAAAAGATTTGAACAGGTCAATCAATCCTAATTTATGTCATGTACTAACATACCAAATCTCGCTTTTTAGCTGAAAAAATAAAAAAAGTTATAGGGGTGAGCCACTTTTGAGATGCACCCAGTATTTGTATATTGTTTAAATAAAAATCTTGACACAAAACAATTTGTTAGTGGTATTGTATAAGGGAAATTTGGAGAAATCATGTCCCAAAAAAAAGACAATCGGTGTGTGTCTAGTTAGTGAAGAAAAAAATTGGCAGGCACGTAACCAAATCACACATTGTAAATGAACGTTACACGGCAAGTGCTTAGACTGTTAAGCAAGCGTGCTGCGTAGAGGGGGCAACAGCGGAATGCCTACCTGTTCACCACACCATAGCCCCTCCACTGTTATGGTCGCCTTGCTTCTTACGTTGTTCTTGCTTTATCTTCATCCGCGCCAAACCAACTAAATCTTAACTGTTTTCGTCCAACAAAAATGCATTGTGAATCGTATTCTTCGTCCTGTAACGAGAAAAAATCGACAAAGGACTCGTCCTAGTGTCTTCGGCTTAACACCAGCAAATATGTTCGATGTGGTATCATTGTTGTTGCCGAAGCTCGCCGTGGACCAAAGTTGAAGCTGCTTGATCTGGGATAGAAACGCTCGCCAAGGTAATGTGTGGTACTTTACATATTTGTTACGCAAGAACCAAAAGTTTGAATAGTTTAAAGGGCACTGACATTAGGACGGTTTCAACGGGTTTTCGACGGCTTTTTTTTAAATTTAAACGCCACAGCTGTTCGAACGGTTGTCCCCTGGGTACGAGCGGTTTATTTTCAATTTCTACCTTTAATTTTAATTGCACAACATAAAATATTTAGTAAAACAAAAAATATGAGTTATTATTAATATTATATTTTTGCTACATCAGATATTTTAGTCAGTAACATTGACCCAAAAAAATCCCAAAATAATCGACCTCTTAATCAAAAAATGTTTTTGAAAAATATCTCATAATTACATGTTTTTGCGGTTCAAATTTCATAAAAATCATTATTGGGGACGGGAAATCCAAGATGACTCAAGAATTTTTAGCGAATAGCAAATATTGCTTTTGCAGACTCTATCCGCTGTACATAAAACAAACACAAAGTTGTTAAGTCCATAATAGAAGAATGTTCTAAAGTTATTAAATACCAAACACTACATGGGAAGGTCACTGATTGTTATTCACATAATAGGTATGTCGATTCAATACGATTTTTTTTTACAAAAGCAACAACTACAACTCTCCTCTATTAAGAGAAACAATACTCCTCTTTTGTAGTAGCTTATAAGCGAGAGTTGATTAACAAAGGCATTCAAATTGAATTTTGGTTTACTTTCTTTTCGGATATTTTAATTTACTATCATGTTTATATACCAACTTTAATAATAAACATTTTTAATTCTCTGAATAAGTTGTTATACTTCTTCGTGGTTTATTTTGAGTTCTCATTATTTCGAACCTTCTAAAACCATTTTTAACTTATAACATTCTCAGCCTCTTATTTTTATTATTTATAATTCTATTCTATAAAAATAATAATAATCTCATAAAGATATTTGCAGTGACTACGACATCGAAAATAAATCTATATAAAAATAAAGAACTAACAATATCTGAAAAGTTTCTTCTGTTACATTGTCATTAAAGAACAGTTAGTTTAAAGATCTATACGTTATTTGCATGTTATGTTGTCATTTAAAATCATTAACTAGGTAATTTCAAGTGACTCATAACGCTCAGTGTAATACTTTCACTATTGAAGATGCCCTTAAGCGTTTTTAGAAAACATGCTTCGATTGTCATGTTGAAATTGATACGAGAAAAATAACAAATTGGGAACATCCCACCCAAGGCTTAATATAAATAGAAATTGGTTCAATATGGGCTCAAATATTCGACAAACAAATCATAGAAAAAACGCTTTGTAATAGAAAAAAGTAGAAAATTTGCTATTTTTGGCTAATTTTTATCCGTTTTTCAGGGTCTTAAAAAAGTAATAAATCCGGTCATAAAATTTTGAAAATTACTTCGTTTGTAGAAAATTTTATGTACTTTCAGAAAATATAAAGATATTAGGCTTACATGCTTTGGTTTTGTTAGAAAATTGATCTTTTGAACCCCTGTAAAAATATGCCTACATAAAAGGCCGTAAACCAAAGGCCACAATGGCCTATATTTTCGTGTTCTGCGGATTCTAATTAGTAAATAACAGTATTTTTATCAAAATCGGTTTTCATGTATGGAAAAAAGTCGAAAAATCGTGGTAAAAAAATCTAAAATCGTACTTTTAGAAAAGCATGGCTTACATGCTTTGGTTTTGTTGAAAACATTAATTTTTTGAACCCTTATTTTCATGAGACCATTCATAGTCAATTTTCAAAATTGACC